GGAGAAGCAGGCTCCATGTGGGGAGCCCGATGTGGGACTTGATCCCGGGTCTCCAGGATCAGGCCCTGGGCCAAAGGTGGCACCAAACCACCGAGCCACCCGGGCTGCCCTTATTTTAATTTTTTAAAAAGGTTTTATTTAGGGGCTCCTGGGTGGTACAGCCTGTGAAGCGTCTGCCTTCAGCTCAGGTTGTGATCTCAGCGTCCTGGGATCGAGCCTCACACTGGGTTCCTTGCTCAGCCTGCTTCTCCCTGACCTTTTGCTTGCTGCTTTCCCTGCTTGTGCTCTCCCTGTTTCTGTCAGATAAATAAATAAAATTAAAAATAAATAAAAATAAAAACAGAAAAATAAAAAGATTTTATTTATTTGAGAGAGAGAGCACAAGCAGGAGGGAGGGGCGCTAGAGGGCTTACTATTTAGCTGGAGAGTTTGTCGTGACCAGGGGGTGAGGACTAAAGATGCCTCGTTATGGAGGTGTTTTTATTTTACTGGTTTTCATTGTGAATGGAGCTCATGGTTTCTGTAACAAATCAGTAAAACGGATGATTGAAAAGTACAGGTGTAGGTCTTCCCTCCCCCCAACCTCAGCCTCTCTCCCTGAGGCTAAGCCAGCTCACCACGGGGTATACCTCCTCCCAGAATTTTCCCCTAGTCCTAGACCACGTATAATTTTTTTGAAAATGGAGATCATGTTCTTTGACTTTTTATTTATTTATTTTTTTACATAACAAATCCTGTATCTCTTTCCAGGTCAGTTCGCATAGATTGGCTTTGCTCTTTTTCCTGTCTGTCTTTCTTTTATATCAGTGTGTTTTAATGTAAACACCAATACCCTACATGGTATTTCAGACTGTTTCCATTTCTCTTGATCACCTCAAGGAACTGGTGAAGGCCTTACACACGCTCCTCTGTGTACAGAAGCCATTGTGTTTGTGTGGGATGTGAGCTTCAGCATATGCACTTCATGTTTTGAGATACTCCAAATCAGTCTTCCAAGTATTGCTCCCTGCTCCAAATAAGTGCCTCAGAATACATATTCCCCTCTCTCTCAGCAACATGGGATGCTTTTATTCTTTTCTTTTTTTTTAAATTTTTTATTTATGATAGTCACAGAGAGAGAGAGAGGCAGAGACACAGGCAGAGGGAGAAGCAGGCTCCATGCACTGGGAGCCCGACGTGGGATTCGATCCCAGGTCTCCAGGATCGCGCCCTGGGCCAAAGGCAGGCGCCAAACCGCTGCGCCACCCAGGGATCCCCTTTTCTTTTTTTAAGATTAATTTATTTGAGAATGAGAGAGAGGGGAGAGAGAGCGGGGGGGGGGGCAGAGAGCAAGAGAAACACAAGTGGATTCTGTGCTGAATGTGGAGTCCTACACGGGGCTTGATCCCACAACCCTAAGATCATGAGCCAAAGCCAAGTCAGATGCTTAACCGACTATACCACCCAGGTGCCCCAGGGATGCTTTCATTCTTTTAACTTTCGCCTAAGTGGTCAACGAGATGGTTATCTTGCTGTGGTCTAGATGTGAATTTTTGGAGGCTGCTAATGATGTTAAGCATCTCTTCATATATTTATTGGCCATTTGTAGTTCTTCCTCTGTGAAACATCTTTTCAAAGAACATAAGAAACATTTGCTTATGGAAAATGAGAACCAAAGTTGAAATATCAAGGATTTTGTTATTACCCCTAAATCTTCAAAAAAGAAGTGGTGTGGGTGAAGGCTGGGGCCAGGTTTCAGGCACAGGGAGAAGAGACATTTACTAATCACATTAAAAACCTTTAAAAATCAAAAGCAGGGGATCCCTGGGTGGCGCAGCGGTTTGGCGCCTGCCTTTGGCCCAGGGCGCGATCCTGGGGACCTGGGATAGAGTCCCGCGTCGGGCTCCCTGCGTGGAGCCTGCTTCTCCCTCTGCCTGTGTCTCTGCCTCTCTCTCTCTCTCTCTGTGTGTGACTATCATGAATAAATAAATAAAATCTTAAAAATAAAATAAAAAATAAAAATCAAAAGCATCCCATGAAGATGTGGCAAACATAAGAAAATCTACAAGTTCTTTTAAGCTTCCAGAAAACAAGCAATTCTCACATAATATGAATTGCCTAAGAAACAGAAAGTGCAGTATGTATTGAGTATATCCTATGAAATGAATGAATATAACACTAATAATAAGCCTTGATTACATGAAAAGAAAACTGTAACTCAATATTTATGACCCTAAGAAGAACATATTGAATGCAGTAGGGAATATACATCTGTGGCATAGTTACAGAGATCTGCAACGACCAAGTTGGGGTTTTCACGGAATATAAGGACAATTCGATATATGGAAATTTATGCATGCAATACACTATATTCATGGGATAAATAGTAAAGAAATTATGATCATCTCCTTAGAGTCTGAAAATAACCCTACTAAAAATATTTAAATATAGAAATAAAACATAAACTTTAACATGATGAAGAGCAGTTTTTGTAAAACAGCTGGCAACGGTGAAATACTAGAGCCAGTTTCATAACATTAAATAATTGAAGAATTCAAGCTAACCCAACAAGGCATGGAACCAAAATAAGAAAAATCAGTATTGAAAAAATAAGAAAGCAACCTCGCATTATGTATTCATGAAACATTCATTCAATAACTATTATAATCAGTAAAACTTCTGAAGCACAGAGGAGTGTTAAACATGCATAATATTTCTATATAGAGTAACAAAGCGAGTTAGGAAACACGACATCGAAAGATACTATTCCTAATAGCACCAAAACAATTTGAGGTACATAGGAAATAAGTGAATACAAAACGCAAAGAGGCAACAATTCTTTCATTTTTCAAAGAAAAATGAAAACAGAGCTGCTGGGAAGCCATCTGGTGCTGCTGGGCAGGAAAGTAGCAGGTCCTTGGATTTAATCAGGAATCTATCCTGAGCCTCCTCAATGACCCATATATATATATATATACACATACTACACTTACTATGACGGCAGGAAACATCCTTTATAAAGTTGAACTAGAAACACAAATAGCTCCTGGTCCCTGCAGGGGAGCTCCTGCACCCAGAAAGCAGAGGGGGACACAGGAGCCCATCACCGGCCCTGTTACTGCCAGAGCCGCCACAGTGGACAGGACGGGGTTGGTGGCATTATACATGGAAGGACTCATATGAATGACAAAAATATGAAGCCCCCGAAGTGCCACAATAAGGGATTGTTTCTATAAACATGAAGGTACACATGAAATAGCATGGAGTAGCCGTGTGGACAACAGTATAGTTTAACTATAACACATATAGTCATGGCATGTTATTAAAAACCTGTAGAAAAGAATATGCATTTGAAAATAATGGGAAGTAAATGAACAAAATCGATAGTTATGTTATGGTACTAGTGGGGGCAATCTTCATCAAATTACACGGAAATCTATTTGGGGACAACTGGGTGGCTTGGTGGTTGAGCGTCCACCTTCGGCTCAGGTTGTGATCCCAGCACCCTGGGATCCCGCATCGGGCTCCCTGAAGGGAGCCTGCTTCTCCCTCTGCCTATGTCTCTGCCTCTCTGTGTCTCTCATGAATAAATAAAAAATCTTAAAAAAAAAAAAGGAAATATATATTTAAAGTGATTTTTGAACCAGAAGAAAAGCTGCAACATAAGAGTCTTTAAACAAGCGTAAGTGTGCCACACTGCCTGTGTAGGGAGGAAAATCATCTTCCCTCTACCCTTCTGAGTTCTTAGCCCAAGGCCCTGTAATAAAAGATTAACAAGACGAAAACGAACAGAAGTTTATCAACATGTATAGCTCATGTACATGTGGGAGTGATCCAGGGGACAAATGAGTAATTCCCGGGTGTGGCTTAGAATTCAATCTTAAATACCAATTTAATAGGAAAGGGGGTAGGAGAGGAGGAGGTAGGTCTCTTAGGGGGGAGTAAATGCTTTCTGGGAAAGACCAATGGGCCCTAATAAGAACAGGCAGGAGGTATGATGGTTTGTGACAGAGTGTGTCTGGGTGTTGACTTCCAGCCTTCTCTCCTGGGAGAAGAGGCTGCTGACACTCCCAGGGCTGGCGATCTGTGACAATTGAGCTCTTTTTGGAGGATCTGTTTTTAGGCAGATGAGGGGAGTTCATAGAAAGCCTCTCCCTGCATTTGCTGTATTTCGAGTGCCTTCAGCTCAAAATAATCAATATCCCAAAGCAGCATGTCTCACAGTGACATTTTCTGTCACCTTTCACCTACCTGGTTAAAACAACTAACCAGCCAATGAACTCATGGCTACGGAGGTTTAAGCAGAGACTGGACAACTCTGCCAGGATTGTAGATTGTGATAAAAATAACATGACTTTGGGATCCCTGGGTGGCGCAGCGGTTTGGTGCCTGCCTTTGGCCCGGGGCGCAATCCCGGAGACCCGGGATCGAATCCCACGTCGGGCTCCTGGTGCGTGGAGCCTGCTTCTCCCTCTGCCTGTGTCTCTGCCTCTCTCTCTCTCTGTGTGTGTGTGACTATCATAAATAAATAAAAATTTTAAAAAAAAACTTAAAAAAAAAAATAACATGACTTGGGATCCCTGGGTGGCGCAGTGGTTTAGCGCCTGCCTTTGGCCCAGGGCATGATCCTGGAGACCAGGGATCGAATCCCATGTTGGGCTCCCGGTGCATGGAGCCTGCTTCTCCCTCTGCCTGTGTCTCTGCCTCTCTCTCTCTCTCTCTGTGACTATCATAATTAAAAAAAAAAAAAGAAACCCACTAAAAAATAACATGACTTTGATCATCTTTGTGATTGTCATTGGGTTATTGGATGATATCAGTAGACTTGGTGACTTAACATGTAATATCACAATTTGAAAAGCCCTTCACCAATCTGCTTTGCCACTAGAAACCTAAGAGGTCACCAGTTTCACCAATTGTTTGGTTAAAATCATTAGGCCAAAAGGTTGTGAAATTTTCCGGACATTAAGATCTTTTATGTATCCTAACCTTGTTTTTTTTATCCCCAATGTTATAACTAGATAGTCCATTTTGGTGGCCCATCATCAAACATTTTCGGGACAATATGACTAAAGAAGAAATGCACTACATACTCTTTGATGCAAAGGCTTGGGAGATGCTGGTGCAGAGAAGTGGTCTGGACAGGTAATCCTAGAACGGTGATGTGGCGGGGAAATCACCAGAACGTGCGAACGTGAGGACAGGAGTTTGGGCAGATGTGCTCGGGGCCCAAATCCCAGCCTCTAGAATAGTGTCTGGCACAGACCCGACTCCCAGGATATTTGAATGGGGGAAGGAAATCTGATTGTTAATATCCCAGATTCTGTTACTAGGCTGTTGCCAGCTCCACGGTAGGGCAAATGTGCTCCATCCAAGTTGGCTGAAGAGCTGGTCATGCTGTCTCGTGTACCGCCCTTTGCCATTGGAAATGGGGGGGGGGGAGGATTTACACATCCTCATAAAACATTTTCTTAGGAAAGCAAATTTAAAACCTTTGATTAAAACCTTTGGTAAGCACATTAATAGGTGCCGAGGTCCCCGGCCTCTTGGCCAATGGATTCCTAGAAGCAGAATTGGTTTCCTTTTCTCCCTCCTTGCTCATGTCACCAGAACGTTGAGGCCTTGAGACCCAAACTCCTGGGACTCCTCTTCACAGCCTCTGCCTGGGCATCTGGGGTCTCTGGTAGCACCGGGCTGCAGCCTTCTACGGGCTGGGATGGAGCCTGCGGCCGGCCTAGCAGAGGCCCAAGTGTCCGTAAGTCCTACAAAATGAGCTGCAGGACCTCCCCCAAGCTCTTGGTGGTAAAATCTTCCTGAGACGTGCAAACTGCAGTTGCCCACTCTTTTAGGATGGGAGCAGTCCATTCCACGCACCTCTGACCTGGGCCCAGCTCCCCCCCCCATCCGCCCCTCTTCACTCGTCAGAGCCCCACTCTCGGCGCTCAGTAATCCCCAGGATCACTCAGAACAAAGCCCTTCACCTTGGCTGCTGGCGGCTGAGCCCAACTTGGACCACCGTTGATTAGTCCGCTTCCACTGCGCCTGCGCCCCGGCCGGTCTCCCCACTCTGGGGGAGGCAGAAAGGTGGTTTTCCCTTTCTTGAGGCAATAGTGACCTCAACCAGCAGGTGAGGCCAACTAGAGGCTTCTGGGAAGCTGGCGTCCTGTGCTCTTACCCTGCTTCCATCACACACTGGATCGTCCCGTAGGAGAGTCCCCTTGCCCAGGGAGGCCAGCGGCCTGCCCAGTGATGGAGGCTTGGGCCCACTGATGGAGCACAGGTGGCAGCTGGCCACTGGCCTTCTCGGTGGACCTGCAGGGAGCATCACGGGCCAATGCAGCATTCATTCTCAGAGCCCAGATATGTGTCGAGATGCTCCTGTGAAAGCAGTCTGGCCACTCTCCCAGCTATGGCAGGGGCCTGGACGCCTCTTCACCACCTCTGCCCAGATGAGCTGGGGAGCCTTCTGCTTCTAACTCTAAGATTTGGGTTGGAGGTGGGCTGAACTTCTGGGTTATGGAGATGTCCCAAAGAAAACTCTAAGTCTTTGTTAAAGAGCAATGTGGTGACAGGGAGGGATGTCCGAGGGCTCCTGCCACTTCCCTGGACAGGGGTCAGTTGGCTGGTCCACCTGAGGCTGCTGATGGCCTTGCTCAGGGAGCAGAGGACTCTAAAGCCATTGTCAACGATTCCTTTTTGGAGGCCTTGGGGCTGCTTGGCCTTGGTGTGGTTTTCCCATGAGCCCTGCCATCTTTCCCAAAGCCCAGTATCCCTGGAGCCTGTGCCTGGTCTGCGGTAGGTACTCAAGTTGGACAGACCGGAACACACGTAAGGGTCATACAAATCATACAAAACAGGGATTCTGTTTCGTGCTGTAGGCCTCTGGTTACAGCGTCCCGCACGGCCCCCTCGTGTCCACTTGGGAAGCCCCCAATCCAGCAGTGATTCTGAAACGTAGTGCTTGCAGAACTCTGCTGTTCCAGGAGCTAGACCAAACCGATTCCGCAGGAAAATGGAATGATGGTGGTCTTTTCTCCAAAATATAAGAGACATTTGAGTTAATGGGGGGAATTTTCTGAGTTGTACATTTTTCCATTCTTCATCAGTTCTTCTGAAGACTACCTGCTTCTCCCACTTGTCCGTGAAAAGAGTAGAAGCTGCTGTGTCTAGGCATGACCACTCTTGTTAGAAATCCACTTTCAGTTTCCAAAATGACACAAAACTGTCAAACCAACTGGCAAACAATGAGCCCTCCTCTATGGAAGGCTTCATATTTCGGGTCCCCTTAGAGGGTCTCCCTCCTTTTTCTTTGGAAGTGTAGGTTACTTTTGTTAATTTTCTGAATTAATTCTAATACACACCCATGATACAAAACCTCAAAGGAACAGAGAGGCAAACAGTAAAAAGGAAATCTCCCTCAGAGCTTTTCCCCGCTCCCCAGCTCTTTTCCACAGAAGCAACCACAATTTCCAGGTGGATCCACCCCTGCCTTTTTAAAATGTTTTTTAAAGATTTATTTATTTATTTATTTATGAGACACATAGAGAGAGGCAGAGACACGGGCAGAGGGAGAAACGGGCTCCTCGAGGGGAGCCTGATGATGGACTCGATCCCAGGACCTTGGGATCATGCCCTGAGCCAAAGGGAGATACTCAACCACTGAGCCACCCAGGTGCCCCCAGATAGATCCCCTTTTAACATAGAAAAGGAAAATCAAGCCATCTCCTCTATAGGTTGTTAGGACTCTTATCTCACAAGCTGTTGTATATTCATAAGTTATATATGTATGCACATATATACATATAGATTCATTAAGAAAATATTATAAAAGTCAGGAATGCTCTTAGGATTTATTGTATTCATCACATTACTCTCCATATCAGCCAGAGGAGAGCTGCCCATGGGTGAACAGACTAGGAAGCCAGTCTGGACGTGCAGAGGGATTGCTTCAACTGTGTGACACATGGTCACCTAGGGGTTCCGGCCACAGAGAGGGACCCTCTCTCACGATGCTCCCCCATTGTACCTTAATTCTCAGGGCCCTGCTCCCTGTATGTGTCAGAGAACTCAGATGACCTAGAAGTTTTTAGCTTACTGGTGAGAGTTGGAAAAATAATCCCAGAGGAGGAGAAATAATCACATGATGTGGACTGTCCACAGGGATGAGGCCAACATGCTGCACCATATCCTGATGGAAGAGCTGATGCAAAATAAGGAAGCATCCATGCTGGAAAACCTATCAGAGGAGGAAAAAATATTTCTCTTCTGGTTTCCCCTGCAGAAGAATAAGCTGAAAAAGAATATCAGAGAACTCCATGCTCTCGCAGACCAAGTTGATGCAATGCATAAGATGCTCACCAAGACCAACCTGGTGGCCAGCTCCTCAGGCACTGTCTCTGGAGTCATGAGCATCTTGTGTTTTGCCCTGGCACCCGTGACAGTAGGGGGGAGTCTGATGCTCTCAGCGGCTGGGCTGGGCCTGGGGGTAGCAGCTATTGCCACCAACACGTTGACGAGTATCTTAGAAAGGAACAGCAATTCGGCAGCCAGAGACAGAGCCAGCAGACTGGTGCCTGTTCCAGCCATGACGGTACATGATAGCTCTGAAGAAAGGGGGTGCTCTGAAATCAGCGCTGCTTTGTTGTGTATTGATAAGTGTGTCAGAGCCTTCAAGAACCTCAAGGAACTTCGGGCCTACCAGATGGCCAAAGCCAATTCTGGCTTCGTGGCCAAGGTCAATAAATTCATGGCCATGAGCCATATCCCCTTCTGGAGGACGGGAGGACTGCAGAGAGCTGTTGGAGCCTCGGTTATGCCCATGACCAAAGTTGCTCGACTGCTGGGTGCTGCTGGGGCTGGCCTCTCCCTTATGCAGGACTTGAGAAGCCTCCGGCAGAGCTGGACGCACCTGGAGGAGGGAGCAAAGGCCGAGACTGCTGAGGAGCTGAGGGCCGTTGCCGGGGCGCTGGAGCAGGAGCTGGACCAGCTCACCCAGCGCTACGAGCTGATCATCCGGGGGCAGGGCCGGCTGAAGAGCCCGCTCCTGAGTCAGGAGGTAGGAAGGGGTGCTCAGGGCCCATGTGGTCACGGTCCCCCGGAGCATCTGGGGCGCTGAATAGGTAGATGCATCAGCAGATGTATGATCAGAGCTTTCTGCGGAGAGGACAGTCCCCACACCCCTCAGCTAAACCAGGCCCCTCCTGTTCTCTCCAGAATCCCTTCTTTCTCTCTCAAAGTGCTGACCAGCACTCTTCTGAAATCACCCATTTCGTGTAGGTATCACTGTCTGTCTGTCCTCCCGTCCGGTGTACCCACTGGGAGGGCAGGGATGCGGCCCCAGCACCCAGCAGGGCCGGGCACACCGCAGGGGGGGCCACAGACGGGGTTCGAATGGCACAAGGGCGACATCCCAGGATACAGGTGACATTTCAGATGAGTTGGGATAGGATTTGTATTTGAAAAACAGTTTCTATTTCTAGACTCTCTTATTTAGGGACATTAAATATGCAGCTGTAGAAACTGAAAACCACTCCCAGGAAAAGTAAGGAGAATTTCAAAACTCCTGTTTAATTTTACAGGGAGTATGGATTAGGACTGGGTAGCAGAGCCACTGCCTGGGATCCTGGAAAGGGACACACCAGCCTTTGCTGAGGGTGTGAAGGTTCATAATCATAAATTCTTTTTTTTTTTTTAAGATTTTATTTATTTACTCATGAGAGACATAGAGAGAGAGGCAGAGACACAGGCAGAGGGAGAAGCAGGCTCCATGCCTGATGCAGGGCTCGATCCTGGGACTCCAGGATCATGCCCTGGGCCAAAGGAGGGCGCTAAACCGCTGAGCCACTCAGGGATCCCCTAGGATTCATATCCTAAAGGGCCTGGCCTGTCTTCCCCCTTGCCTGTCACAGAGTACAAGCTCAGGTCAGCTTGAGGGAAGACACAGTCTCTGTTCTAACAGCCATGGGGACCCAGCAAGAGAGAGACCCTAGACAAGCCATTAACGAGAAAGAGAGGTAAACGGAAGGACACGAAGATAATGGGGTACCGCAGGGGCCCCTCCAGGCTCTCACACCTGCGGGGTGGGCAGGCTGCGCGGAGGGAAGCTGGTGCCTCCAAGCGTTCCTGGGCTTGTGTCTTTGCCACTCACCTCCCTGAGCCCTGTGCGCACCCGGGCTGGTGCATTTGCAGCCTGGGGCGGGGGCGGGGGGGGGGGTCGTTCGCGAAGCCGGTAGATACACAGACTCTCACTGAGCACCTCTGTGCCCCGCAGCACGCCAGGCCTGGCTGCGCACGGGACACACAAGGATGGGGCACGGGAAGCAAGAGCGCCACCAATGCCAGCTCCCACGTGTCTAGACGCCCAGGGGCCAACCTTCGGGAAGGTCCCAATGGTGAGTAAACTTACTTCTTTTTCCTTTCCGCCGGACCTGGTCTAGCTGCCTCCAGGGAACCCCTGTTTAGCAAAGGCAAAATACAAGTCTCCCACTACGAAAACTCCGGGTAGGGAGATTTCTGCTTGCAACGATTGAATGATGATAGAAGGAAGACCTGTAGGGGCCCAGGACAATCCCTGGGGACTCCAGAAACGCTTGGGTTGGGAAGTTTCTGAGAGACAGGATTTTCTGTGTGAACAGATGGGCTTGGAGGCCAAGAAGGCCTAAATATTCATGCTAATTTAGGCTGAGCTTGGGCCACATTTAGAATATCTCTTTTCCAAATTTTTAAAAAATTATTTATTTATTTATTTTTAAAGATTTTATTTCTTTATTCATGAGACACAGAGAGAGAGAGAGAGAGAGAGAGAGAGAGGCAGAGACACAGGCAGAGGGCAAAGCAGGCTCCATGCAGGGAGCCTGACATGGGACTCGATCCTGGGTCTCCAGGATCACGCACCAAGCCAAAGCAGACACTCAACCACTGAGCCACCCACGCATCCCTCTTTTCCAAATTGTATACAACTACCTGGCACATTTAAAGTTAAAACTTTTTTAAAAAGATTTTATTTTAGAGAGAGAGAGAGAGAGCATGCATGCAGGGGAAGGGTATAGGCGAAGGGAGAGGGAAAGAATCTCAAGCAGACTCCAGCTGAGTGTGGAGTCCAACAAGGGTCTCCATCTCATGACCCTGAGATCATAACCTGAACTGAAACCAAGAGTTGGAAGCTTAACAGACTAACCCATCCAAGTGTTCCTAGAATTAAAACTTTAATAAATTCCTTTATTTTGTTTTATTTTTTAAAAATTTATTTATTTATTCATGAGAGACACACAGAGAGACACAGGCAGAGGGAGAAGCAGACTCTCCAAGAGGAGCCTGATGTGCGACTCGATCCCAGATCCCAGGGTCACACCCTGAGCCAAAGGCAGACGGTCAACTGCTGAGCCAGCCACCCAAGTGTCCCCTTTATTTCATTTTAAAGTTTTATTTATTTATTTGAGAGAGAGAGAGTGCACCAGCGGGGGGGGGGGGTAGGGCTAGGGGCAGGGAGAGAGGGAAAAGCAGACTCCCCACTGAGCAGGGGGCCCAGCTCAGGGCTCAATCCCATGACCCTGGGACCATGAACTGAGCTGAAGACAGACACTTGACTGAGCCACCCAGGTGCCCCCCAAACCTCCTTATTTTATTATTTTTTATTTTTTTTTAATATTTTATTTATTCATGAGAGACACACACACAGAGAGGCAGAGACACAGGCAGAGGGAGAAGCAGGCTCCATGCAGGGAGCCCGACCTGGGACTTGATCCTGGGTCTCCAGGATCACGCCCTGGGCTGAAGGTGGCGCTAAACCGCTGAGCCACCTGGGCTCCCCCCAAACCTCTTTATTTTAAAATAAACTGTGCTTGGAGCACCCGGCTGGCTCAGTTGGTATAGCATGTGTCTCGATCTCGGGATTGTAAATTCCAGCCCCCCTTTGGGTGTAGACATTACCAAAAATGAAATCTTAAAATAAACTCTGATTTGTAACTCCTTCCCCCCTTCACCTCTGCCCTCACCCCTTCTCTCATCAGCCCAGACTCAGGGGTCTTTGGCCTGCAGTCCATTTCTCACGCCCAGATTCGACCTCCATCCCCAGAGCCCTGCAAGGAAGAGTCAGAGATTTGTGAAAGGCTGTTACTGAAAGTTATCCCTTCATGCTGCAGAATTTATAGTTGTGACAAACCGGACACGGTTAACATGGTCCAGCGCTAGGAAACTGGTCAAAGACACCTGTTCCTCCACTTGAGAGAACTTTAGGTAGTACCTGTCAAAAAGGTGTTCCCGAGAGCTAGTCATTGGATTAGTATGGAAAACATCTATGCCAACTTTGGTGAGAAAAGCAGGATAAAAGTGCCATATATACTTGTTCACCTCGTATCTAAGCGGGGGAGACAAGAGTAAGGCCCCCAGCAGCCCCCTCTATCTGGAGGGGATGTGGTTATGTTTTCCTTCTTTCCGCCTGTCTATACTTGTCAAGTTTTCTATTAGGTGCACTACTATTTTATGAAATGGAAAGAATAGATGATAAGTATTGACATCAAAATAACAGATTTTTTTTTTTACAAAGGAAGACCAACCGCTAGTCTTTGGGTCTTAATTTAGTTTCTTAAATCACTTGAATGAACACAGCCTCCTCCTCACCACTGAATGAAACCATAGTGGGAAGAGAAGGAAACTGTTTTCTGGGACGACTGGTTCCCATGATGTTAGCAATGGCTGGAGACCCAGAAAGTCTAAGTCTTTTGGGTTCTTGAACCCAATTCCAATGGATGTGTATGTGTGTGTGACCAACATGGTAAGGTGGCAAATGCTTGACTGTTCTACTGTAAGAAGAGCCTAGGCTAACATAACTGACTTATGACCCTGTTTTGCAGAAGTTGACCAACTACCAGAGTGGCTAAGATGGGAGTAATCCAGGAAGGATTCTCAAAACTGTGCAGAAGGGACCGGGAGTGAACAAAAGTTATCCCTGTGAGTGAGGACACACTCCGAGGTCTCCCTGAATTCGTCATGCTTACATTCTTGAACATGTATCCCATGAAGAGATGTGCTTGCTCAGAAAGGAAGCCACCTGCATTTCCCTATATCCAGTTAGCATAGTTCACTCAACATACATGCTGACCCCTTGTCCTTACACATGCCCAACCTCCAACCCTCTGGGTAGCAGTTCTGAGGCTTGTTTAGTTGTCTCGTGAATAAACTCTTTCCTTGATGCATAATCCATGTCTCAGTGACTGGCTGTGCTGTGCACTGGATAGAACTCGGGTTCGGTTCCACATGTGTATGCACTGGGGGAGGCCTCCACACATCCACAGGCAATTCTGTGTAACCAGCAGTGGTCCAAGAATTCAGTCCAATTCTGACATTATCTACTCAGGAGATGGCATCTCATTCCAAGGTGAGGGTTCAGTCCCATGAGAACACCTTCCACTTCAGAGGCCAATCACAACCCCAAGTTGTTCTCTGAGCTTCTGACTGATTGGCTTTCAGTCAGAGGCTCTCACAAATCCCTTCTTGGATTTGATTAATTTGCTACAGTAGCTCACAGAACTCAAGAAAACCCATTCACTCACAAGATTGCTGACTTATTAAAAAGGAAATTAAAGAATATGAATCGGCAGCCAGATGAACACATACATAGGGCAAGGACCTGAACAAAGAGGCTTCTGTTCTTACTGAAGTTTGGGGCCCAGCACAGTGGCACATGGAAGTGTTCTGGTTCCCCGACCTGGAAGGTCTCCGAACCCTCTCCTTTTTGGGATTTTATGGAGGTTTCATTATAGAGGCCTTGGCCATTGGTTGATTCAACCTTTAGCCTCTCTTCCTTCCCAGGAAATCAGGGGGTAAGGCTGAAAGTTCCAACCCTCTGTTCATGGTTGGTTCCCCTAATAACCAACCCCCATCCTTAGGTATTTCCCAAAGTCACCTTGTGAATGTCAACTCAGCTGTGGTAGACTCACCACGTGCTGTGAACAAGTCACTCATGCCGCCTTGAAGTCTCTGAAGTGTTTTCAGGAACTGAGGACAAGAAACCAAATATTATAACACAAGGTGTACCCATTGCTCTTATTAGTCAGGAAATTTCAAGGGTTTTGAGAGCTGTGAGCCAGGAATTGTAGATGAAGACCAAATATATGAAAAGTATATTTTGGTAATCTGAATGAATGACCGAATATATATATTTCTTATAAATCACAGTATTGCTCTTACATAGACCCCAATCTGTTCATCCATCCATATCATCTATCCATCTGTCCATCTATGCACCACCCATCTACTCATCCTTCCATCCATCCATCCATCCATCCATCTTATCTAATCATCTGTCCATCTATCCATTCAATCATCCATCTACCCACCCACCCATCCAGATACTCACTGAATACCTGCCATGTGAGAGGCACTTTTCTAAGTAGTTGTGGTAAAGCAATGAACAAAACACAACCCTACCTTCATGGGGTTTATATTCTCATGGTGGGAGAAGCAGATAAGAAACACAATAAAGTAAATCATACAGTGTAATATAAAGTAATGGACGTTAGGGAGAAAAATAAATCTGGGAAGGAGGATACAGAGTGTAGGGTGGGGCTAGAGAGCAATTTTAAATAAGATCATCAGGGAAGATCTCTGAGAAGCTTTTATCTAAGCAAAGATATGAGGATGGGAAGGAAACTAGCCAAGAAGATATCTGGGAGAAGAACATTCCAGACAGAGGGATAGCAAAGGTGACATAGGTGGCAGGTTTAGGGAGCTGCAAGGAGGCTGTGTGCCAGGAGCAGAGTAATGGCTTGGGGAGCACGAAGGGATGGTAGGAGACGAGGTCAGAAAGGCAACTGGAGGCCCCAAGGTACAGTGTATTATAGGCTATGGTAGGGTAGGATTTTGCCGTTTATTGAGTGAGATAGGAAAACATTGAAAGGTTTCAAGCAGAAGGGTGACATAGTCTATCTTAGATTTTAACAACATCACCCTGGCTATTGTGTGGGAAAGAGATCATAGGGGCAAGGCTCTCACAGGGATACCAGTTAACAAGTTACTGAAACACACCTTGGGAGAGAGGATAGTGGCTTAAAGCAGTATGGTAGCTTTAGACGTGGTGAGAAGTGTCAGATCCTGGACCTATTCTGAAGGTAGAGCCCACAGGATTTGCTCATGGACTGGATGTGTGGTCTGAGAGGAAAAGAGCCAAGATGATGCCAAGGTTTTAGCCTGAACAACTGACCATTACCTGAAATAGGTTTTGTGGGGGGTGGGAATGTAGGGTAAGATCAAGCTGCTCAGTTTGGACATGTTAAGTTTGAGACACCCAACAGACAAGCAAGTGGAAATGGTGAGCAGATAGTGAGACGTGTAAATCTAGATTCAGGATGTTGGATCTCCAACAAAATATTGGTCAGAATACAAATTTATAAATAGATGATACTTAAAATCATAAGAGTGAGATTATCAAAGACGAATGTATGTAAAAAGGGTAAATGTACAAGGTCAATGCCCCGGGGTCCCCTGGCTTGTGGAGGATGGGGGAAGGGGAGGAACCATCAAGGAGATACAGAAGGAGCAGTTGCCAAGGTTGAAAAGGGAACCAGGGTTGGGGTGTCCAGGGAGCCAAGTGAAGAAAGCCTCAAGGATGATGAGCCCGAATCTGATTTAGCAACATGGATGCCATTGGTGACCTTGACAAAAGCAGTCATGGTGGAATGACAGAAGACAAAAGCTTGACTGGAGAGGGTTTAAGAGAAGGAGGAAGGAAACTGGAGACAAAGTATAGACAAAACTTTTGAATTTTGCTGGAGAATCTTCCAGAAAAATGGGGCAATTGGGGAGGGGGTTTGGGGGGGAAGCAGGGAGTGAGGTCAAGAAAGGAAATGACATTTCTTAAGATAGAAGAAATACTGGGGCACCTGAGTGGTGCAGTTGGTTCAGGGTGTGATTCTTGGTTTTGGCTCAAGTAGTGATCTCAGGCTCGTGAGGTCCATGCTCAGCATGGAGTCTGCTTAAGATTCTCTCTCCCTCTGTCCCTCCCTCCATCTAAAAATAAATAAATCTTTATAGAAAAAAAGAAATCCTAACATGGTTCTGTGATGGTGGGGATGCCCCAATAATGAAGAGATGGTGATGCCAATGTCCAGTGTGTGCCTCTTGCTCTTTGAGCTCCGGGTGCCCATGTTGGACTACAAGCTGGACTGGAACCGTGTTTCTAGACTTTGCATACCTGCCTAGACCTTTGGGTCAACTCCACCCTATTTCCCCTGCATGTCTTGCAAAATGGTTGTTGGAAATACAGGGCAACTCAGCGATACAATCGGGTGTATGACATTCTATAGGTAAGTTCTCATATTTTAGGAGAGTACCGTCCTGGAGAATCTCTGATACTATTTCCTATTGGGAATAAGGTTCATTCCAACCTTTCCAACCTGAGAAATCCTTGTGCACATCCAGAAATTCCTCGATTCTGTTCTTTCTCCTTTCAAAACAGAAAAGAGGAAAGAATACTGATGGTTTACTTTGTTTTTTTTTATTTATTTTTATTTTTTTATTTATGATAGTCACACACAGAGAGAGAGAGAGAGAGAGAGAGAGAGAGAGAGAGAGAGGCAGAGACACAGGCAGAGGGAGAAGCAGGCTCCATGCACCGGGAGCCCGACGTGGGATTCGATCCCGGGTCTCCAGGATCGCGCCCTGGGCCAAAGGCAGGCGCCAAACCACTGCGCCACCCAGGGATCCCCTGATGGTTTACTTTGAACTAGGAATTCTGCTAAATGCTTTACCAAATTTACTGAATCATAGCTCATAGTTATTGAATACTTGGCACCCTTTAGACACTGTGCTAAATACTCTGTAAATAAGGTCCTATTTCATCCTTGTGATCGACTACTACCGTGGTACATCTATCATCTTCCAATCTAGAGTTAGTGCACAGAGGCATTGAATTGTCCAAGGTCGACCAGTGAGCAGGTTGGCAGCTCAGGGCTGGAATGCAGAGTCCTTTTGACTCTTGTCTCCTTGCCCATAATCACTACCCTACACTGTCCTGGTTAGGTGTCCCAGTTAGGAAATGGGTGACTTCCTCAAGGTCACACCATTAAGGAGCAGTAGGGCTGGAATTTGTACATGTCTGTGTTTGTAGGCCCGAGGCAGACATTTTAAATTTGTTGACGTGAGCCAATTCTGACATCACCCACTTTTAAACATTATGGGGAGATTTAGTATTTTTTACCCTTGCATGCATGCGTGCGGGCACACACACACACACACGCACACCCCAAATTTAACATTTACATTCAGTCTGTACTTGGTGGGAGATTTTTCACAAGCACTGATCTAAACTCTTCCAGAGATTTCTGGAGGCTTGTGATCTGTCAAAGGCGACTCAGCCAGTTATAGCCCACGGGCCAAACTGGGCCCACCGCCTGTTTTTGTGAATAAAGTTTTCTTGGAGCAGAGCCACGGCCCTTTGTTTGTGGACAGCCTCTGGCTGCCTTCCTGCTGTAATGGCAGACTTGAGAAGTTGTGACAGACCAGGTGGTCTGCCAAACGTAAAATACTGATTATCTGGCACTTTATAAAAAGCTTGCTGACGCCGGGTCTAAATGTTTCAAGAGAATCAGCTTTTGAGCATCTGGAATTCTGGCTTTTGAAATGAGAAACTGCCACCCATGAACTGGGGAGTCAGTTCCAAAACCCAGAAGAAACCAAGTGGTGATGGTGAAGCCGCAGTGGTCCTGAGAGCGCTCTTCACTACTGTCCCCTTGGGCTGCAGGCTCGGGGGGGCGGGGGGGGGGACAGCCTGGAGGGCGGCTTTCCCGTTAGCCTGCAGGGAGGCCTGCAGACAGCTGGGCCTGGAGCTGGGCCACGTCCCCTCCTGCCTGCCCCAGATCTCCCCGGCCTCCTTCTCCCGTAGACCAGTTGCAACACAGAGCCCAGGATGGTGGGGTCAGGCAATCCCAGAGGCAAGAGGGAGGGCTGGGGTCGAGCATGGGAAAGCCCTTAGTGCAGTCAGGGAGCATTTCCTCCTCCCTTTCTGGGGGGGCCGGCGGGGGCAGGGGCCAAGGATGATCATCTTCGGCTCTCTTTCAGCTGGGGTTGCTCATTATTGATTCTAAGCCTGGAAAGCTGATGGTCTGAGCCAGAACCGTAGGGCGCCCCGAGTTTAGAATTTCACTCAGTGAAAACAGACGGCTTCCATGGAGATGGAGCGGGGAGAATCTGAGAGCCGGTGAGGTGGCCCAGGTGCACAGAGCCACGGCCCTTGCATAGAGCTGCTCGCTGACCCAGACGAGCTGGCTGCCCCCTTCCTTGCGTTTATGGAAAAATTTATTGACATTATTTTTTAGACGGGTTTTAGAGCAAAACGGAGTGGAAGTACAGGGTTCCTGCCTGCCCTCTCTCCCAACCCACACAAGCGTGGGGAGTGTGTGACCATTGGCCAGGCCGCACGGAGACATTAATACCAGCCTTCCCAAGCAAGCTTTCTGGTTGGCTGTCTCTCACAAGACCTCTAGATGTCTCCAGGCTTTGAGGATATGGTAGGATCCCAAATCATTTAGTGAGGAGGTTTCCAGCCAGGGTGCAGGCCAGCACTGCCTTCCTCCTCACCAAACCCAGAGGCCCAAGCCTCACCCAGGCCCGCTGCATCAGAAGCTCCCAGCATGCAGCCTGGGTGTGTGAACGGGGGCTTCAGTGTGCAGTTCTGGTTGGGAACTTCCAGGCCACAGCTTAGGACTGGATCAAGTAGTTTCCAAAAACTGATGCACCATTTTCTGGACAAGCCCTTGGGTGGTGCTGGGTTTTGATATCACTTGGACAAAACATTGGTACGACTGTCCTGAGGCTTCTTTATGGGGTTCAGCAGGCGCAAAGGCCAATTATGGACTGAGAAGGAACGTTGCTCCAAGGGGAAGATGGAATGCTCATGTGAATGCGTGACCAAACTGTCCTCTGTCCTGTGACTGGGCGTTTGTCTAGGCCTGGTTTCCACCTGGACAGAGAAGTTCTATTGTCAACACAAGCAATCAGTGCTTCAGCCTGCGGAGGGACTCCACAAAATACCTGGTCTATTTGAACATTCTATACATGGAGACGCTGTGGGGCGACAGGCCAAGAGCACACAGCTGGCTACAGCCAGAAACGGAAGCCCGGTGGTCCTCCTTGCACACGCATCTTCTCTTCAAACCAAGACATGACGTTGGTGCCACAACAGCCATTGGTAGCTTGGGTGCATGGAGGCTGAGGGTATAGTCCAGGCCGCTCGAGGTGGGGGCACAGAAATGGGAGCCTGAGGCTGGGAGCCAGCTCTCTGACCCTTGTCTTAAACTCACCTTGTGTTACACATAAAATCTTTGGGGAATCAGTTTGATCCTGTGCCTATCCCTGTCATGTCCCTGGCTGCGTGTGCCAGACTGTCTTTCTGTGGAACTTTCCGCATAGTTCATAGGATGGGAACAAGTGCCCAGCACGGTGGTAGGAAACCAGACATGAGGAATCTGGTTCTCTGCCTCCTGGAAGCTTGGTCTGGTGGGAGAAAAGACATGTGTACAATTTCCCAACAGAAAATCCAGCCTCTCCAGGTCCTGTTTCCAAATGGCACCAAAATACGTGTGACTAAGGGTCGCTGCAGACCTAGGCTGAGCTTAGGTGAAAGAAAAGCTTCATAGTTAAAGTCTGCGGAGCAGAAAGAATGATGTGAGGGGAGGGTCAAGCCAACAAAATGAAATGTGTAAAGAGCACACTGTGTGCTGATGGCCAGCTGGCTGTCTTTGGGATGCTGCCGTCTAGTTCTGGGTGAGCAGGACTCGCCTGGACAGCAGAGGCCAGGAGGCAAGTGCTCTGCCTGAGGGGTCGAGGACTGGGTGGGTTCCCGGCAGCAAAGAGGTCAAGAGGTGACCTTTGAGCTGAGCTTTGAAAGTTCTGGAGCAGGGCGTGGGGACGCCTGGGTGGCTGAGCTGCGAGAACCTGCTTGAGGGACCCACACAGTCCCTCGCAACGTGATCCCGGGGTCTGGGATCGAGTCCCACATTGGGCTCCCCAGGGAGCCTGCTTTTCCCTCTGCCTGTGTCTGCCTCTCTGTGTCTCTCATGAATAAATGAATAAAATCTTAAAAAAAAAAAAAAAAGGAGGGGGGCGCGGAGCAGAGGCAGGGGGACAGGAGGGGGAAGGGAGGCCCAGCTTGTGGGGTGGGGGCAGGTGCTGCGCGGGGCGGGGGAGGGGGCTTGGGTGCCCTGTGAAGGACTCTGGGTTTCAGGCTCTGGGATTCGGGGGTTTCTCAAGGGTTTGGAGGCCTGGGCCAGGCCGGCCAGTGCGGCCCGCAGCCCGAGGTGGGCGGCCGCCGGGGAGAGGGCGGGAAGAGGCCGGGGATGCGGGTGACGCGGGGTGCCCAGAGCGGCGGCAGCGCCCCGGGAGGACAGGGTGCTGCTGGCAAGGGCAGCCGACGGTGGGGGCGGCCCGGGACGTGCACGCGCCGCCGAAGGGGCAGCTCCCGCGGCAGGACTCCGCACTCATTCCGTCCTCGGGGCTTTTGTTCAGCCTCCGGCCCGAGGTGCAACGGGCGACGTGAGCCGGGCTCAGGGCAGACTCCGCGCGAGTCGGCGAGTCGGGGCGGGGCTGCGGGAGGCCGGGCAGCGGGGGCGCCAGGCGCGGGCTCGCAGGTGCTCGGAGGGCAGAGGGCGGAGCCGCCCTGTCCCCCACCCCCACCCCCGCCCCGGGCTGCGGGGGTCCTGCGTCAGGCTCGCTCCTGGTGACCGAGGGCCCAAGCGAGGCGGCCCCTGCCCGGCAGCTCCCGGGCTTACGGAGGGACAACCTGGGGTCGGGCTGGGCTGGGCCGGGCCGGGGGGAGCACGACGCAGCGGCGGATGAAGGGCTTTCGAGCCGGTGGGACGGGGTGGGGGGGCGCAGCATGAGCATCGGTGTCCCCAAGGCCCTGCGAGCGGGTGGGAGGCGACAGGGGCCTGGACGGGAGCTGCAGAGGGTCCCCTACTTGGTCAGCTCATTCATTCGTTGTCCCGGAGCGACGTCGCATCCCTCGCGGTCCCACACGGTCCCACGCGATCCTTCACGGTCCCTCATAGTCCCACACGGTCCTCGCGATCCCACACGATCCCACACGGTCCCACGCGATCCCTCGCGGTCCCACGCGATCCTTCACGGTCCCTCATAGTCCCACAGGGTCCCACACGGTCCCTCGCGGTCCCTCACGATGCCACACGGTCCCTCGCGGTCCCACACGGTCCCACACAGTCCCTCATAGTCCCACGCGATTCCTCGCGGTCCCACACGGTCCCACAGGGTCCCTCGCGATCCCACACGGTCCCATTAGATTCTTCACGGTCCCTCATGGTCCCACACAGTCCCACAGGGTCCCTCGCGATCCCACACGGTCCCACGAGATTCTTCACGGTCCCTCGTGGTCCCACACAGTCCCTCATAGTCCCACACGGTCCCTCGCAATCCTTCATGGTCCCTCGTGGTCCCACACAGTCCCTCATAGTGCCACACGGTCCCTCACGATCCCACACAATCCCTCGCGGTCCCACACGGTCTCACGCGATCCCTCGCAGTCGCTGGCTGCAAGTGCAGCCAAGCTGGCTGCAGCAGGGCCGGCAGGGCTGGGCCCCGGGGCGCTGGTTAGCAGGCAGGGGTGCTCTCGGCCTCTGCGAACCTGGCCGTCCCCCTGGGGGCAACACAGGCAGGCAGGGTGGAAACTGTCTCACCTCATGGGAAACACTGAGAAGGGAACTTACCACGTATCTGCAGCGCGGATGCCCACATGTGCTCACGTGGGGCCACAGGGCGGCCAACAGGACGGGTCAGACCCGGGGGAGGGGGAGGGGTGTGCGAGCCCGAGCGCTCTGCGCAGTGTGGATGCGGACGGTGACGGGGGCTGGGGGGTTCCCCAGGGAGGCAGCCTTCCACCTGCTGTCACCAGAAGGGGCCACTTCAGGGTCACAGAGGGAGAAGAAGCCTGAGCACAGCAGGGGGAGGGCCGGTAACTGGTAAGGAGCGGGTGGGCAGAAACTCCTTCCAGAAGTTTGTCATGAGGGAAGGGGCCTGGGATCTCGCAGAGTTGTTTTGAAAATGCGTTAGAGGTGCGAACACTGAAGGGGCCCACCAGCCAGGAGTGAGGGGTGACCTGCCGGAGGGCGACAGGGCTGGGACCCTGAGGGCTGGGTGCGGGCACAGGGGTGGGGCAGCTCAGGAGGGGAAGGTCTCCTGAGCGGAGCAGGAGGGGGGAAGAAAGGGCATGAACTCGGGTGGTGTCTAGATTCAGCAGCAAGGCATTCTTTCAGGGGCCCCTGCGCAGGGGTGGGCCCAGCTCCCCCGTGAAATGGGAAGCTAGGTGACCCAAGAGCCAGGCGAAGGGCACGGAGTGGGGCGGGGTGGGCACTGGCAGGGATCCGCAGAGGCACTCCCCCGCCAGCCTTTGGCCTCATTCAGCCCACAGCTCAGCGCGACCCCGAGTGCCTTCCGACTAGAAGTCAAATCCAAGAGCCTCAGGAGGAGGTGACATGGATCCCGGATAAACACACACAGGCCAAAGAATGGTGTTTCTCTCTTTTATTTAAAAACAGTGCTTCATTACCATTTGCAAAGGCAGAGACAGTGCTCCTCCTTCGCTTAGAGTTTATAAAAGCCAGCAACATGATCAATAATTTATACACATGGATAGTAATACAAAAAAATAAGGAATAAAAGCTAAAGATCTAACTACTCCGACCTTCACAATTCCAGCTACTTGATAATAATAGGAGTAACCCAATGAATACTGTATGGTCTGAAAGCTACTATACAATATGATTCTTAACGAGAGGGGGAGGGAGTTAGAGACTGTCACAAAGCCCTGGGGTGCTTCTCTGGAGATGCAGGGAAACAGGACCCTGGGCAAGCAGCTCGGGTGTCCTAGAAGTGACTCTGGGGGTGGGGTTGGGGAGAGAAGGCGAGGTGGTCAATTATACAAGCATCCCATGTGATGCCCCCATGCCCCAAAAGGTACCTGTTTTGCCATGGCAATGGGAGGGGGGGCAGGAGAAGCTGCATGTTCCATGTTAGGAGGGTCCAGTCCCTGCCATGGGGAGTGGGGAGGAGAGGTTCTGTGGCATTTTTAGCCTTGCAAAGATTTGGACTGAAAAGCTCAGAGACGCAGGTAGGTCAGCCTGTCAGTGACAAGTCAACACCACTGGCCCTGTCAGCACTCTGCAGCCCTAGCTTACGTGTGTCAGCCCCAGGTTTGCTCCAGCTATTCACAAGCAGAATTAAAACATAAGGAAAAAAAATTCATATCCCTTAGGGAAAAAAGAGGATCAATTCATCACTCGATATATAATACAGCCAAAATGAGCTGCCAAAACAAGCACACACACACACACACACAAAAATACTGTGAACAGAAAAATACAAGAAAATGGCTAAGCTGGGGAGTCTCGATGGGGGTATAGACATTGCTTAAAGCACTTTATCAGTCCCCAGAAAAACCAAACCAAAAGTCATTTTTTAAAAATTCAGAAAACACAAGTACCCCCTGGGAATCTGGCGTTGGTAACTGGGGTGGGGGTGAGGGTTGGGGGAGAGGAAAGAGAATTGATGATCCCTTTTTGCTTGCCGTGTGACCGAGCCTCTGCCACACTGGCACATGTGTGACTGCCAGCCAGCCGGAGCAGACCGAGCCCCCCGCTGGCAGTCTCCTTAAAGGCAAGGTTTGAGTTTTGGCTGATGAGCAGTTCTCTCGGTTACCAATCCCTGCCAACCAGCACTACCATGGCTGAATTGATCTACCGTTTTCCTGAGTAAACTGTAACTGGCTACAGTTCCGGTAACATGGATGAGAACAGCTACTACAGCCAACTTGGATTAACTTGAGGAATCCCCTCCACCCTCGGCTCCTCGTTCCTAGTGCGTCTGATTCAGGAATTGGAGAACTTGCCGTAGTCTGGTCTGTAAGCCTTATTTTAAAGACAGGTGCCAGGGACTCCACTGCACTCGCTAAACCAGAGGGCACGTGCTGGCTTAGGACACCCGGAGCCTACTTGGAAAGGGCTCTGCTTCACGCTCTAGCTCTTGGATGGCTATTGCCTGGTTGATCAATAAAGCAAGTATGAAGCAAGTACACAGGAGAAGGGAAAGGAGGAAAGAGGCTTTTGGACAGTAACATTACCAAAAAAAAAAAAAAAAGTGTTCTATGTAACAGAATCAAGTCTCACTGGTGTATACTACAAATGGTCAGACACTTTCAAGAGCATGACAAAATAAAAACACACAAATTTACGTCTGATGTTCACCTTGCCCACTATTCTTTTTTCCTATCTTAAAACAGTGCAAACAGGTAACTTATGCTTTTTAAAACACCACTACCCCTTCCCCACCCCCCAAAGTCCCTTTCTTCCTATCATCTGGGGAAAAAAAAATCTGCAATTCTGCAAATGTTACTGTGCTAGAGGTTGCAAGCAGCAGGAGGCTGGAGTTGGTGAGGGAGAGGGCACAAGCAGTTTCCCTCCCCGCTCCTGGCCGGTGTGCCTTCCAGAGGGGCCCCGGCTCGGCCCTGTTCTCCCGTCTGAGGGAAGAGGGGGCAGTTATGAAGCTCTTCTGGCAGAGCCTCGGGGTGGCTTCACTTCCGAGTTGCCACCTCTCCCCCATTGGGAAGCTAAGTGACTGGTGATAAGGGTGGTGCTCACCTACTTCTCTGCTACATCACTAGGAATGGTAACCTACAGAGCACTTCAGCCCCTGAGCAATTAGACTTTTGAGGAAAAGCTGCTACCACTGGTTTCTACTGAATAATCTGCACTAGCTCCCCTTAAACAGAGATGAGCCCCAGTCCCCTTCTTTTTTGAGGACAAAAATAATATTGGCTCAATCCCACCTGTGGTTGTCAGAGGACGGTGGTGATGGGAAGCTGGGTAAAACCTGAGAGCCTTAAAGCCGGTGAGTCACCACGGCTGACCCGGGTTCTTGGGAGCTGAAACATGGAACGCATGGGATTCCAGACCTGACCTAAGGGCAGCTCTCGGGGCTGAGAGAAGGATAGGAGATAAAGGTTCTCACTAGTGGTCTCCTTAAAGGAGCCTGGCTTCTAGGAGTAAGACGCTAAGTACAGAAGCCCATGTCATGAGCTACAGTAAAGCTGTCAAAATCATTCACGTGCTGTGATTCAGATCAGTGATTTTTTGGAATCATCAACCAGCATCCTCTAACGAACCCACAGAGGCCAAACTCTCTTCCGACTCTGTTTCTTAGTCCAATGGGAACCAGAGCCAGGAGCAGACAAGCAAGCACCGGTGCTTTGAGGAACCTGCCTCTGATGAAGCTGGCTGTACAGAGTCTCAAAGTTCAAAGGTGATGGGAAGGCTGACACGATCTCATCTAGATGCTCACGAGAGCTCCAGTTCTCAGTGCGGACGCCGAAGAGCAGAGGCCCTTGAGCAAAAGCAGAAGTCTACTTAGCCTTCCTGAGAAAAGGGAGCTGGAGGAAGCCGTATTACAACCATCCCTGGACATGCAGCAGAATGCACAGAGCTTGCCTATGGAGTCCTCAGCCAGAACCAGCTGAACTGAAATGCAGTAGAGGTAGCCCAAGCTCAAGCTTCTGCCTCTTTTACAAGGGCAGTGGGAGCTGCCTTCTCTATCTTTCCCACCATCCTTGTCTTTTTCTTGGAAAAAAGAAGAGGAAATTACTCATTCTCCTATCCTCCTCCCCTGCTACAGACACAACCATTTAAAATTTGGCCTTGTCTCCATTGAGCAGTGCCTTGCCATTTCTGTGAATGGCCCCTATTTGAACATGACATGAAATTTCTCCATTTCTTTAGTGAATAAAAGCTCTCTCTCGAAACAAAAAGAAAGAAAAGGAAAAAAATCCTCCCTGCCCCCATTCCCTAGAACTGTGAAAGCCCCAGATCCCATACCCCTTCCTCTAACTAAAATATTTATATACATACAACAAAAATTGTCTTAACAGCAACGAACCAAACTTTGGCTTGGGGAGGCAAACCCTTAACAAAGGCCAATGGCCCTGGGTAGTTTGGTGTCCCCTATTCCAAGCATTCCTCCCCAGAATCAGTAAGATTGCATCGAGGCCTCTAGCTTCCTTGATGTCTCCCCTCGTTTCAGGGACAGCCTCTCTCCCCATCGTCTGGAGAGAGAGGGCTCCACGGGGGGCGGGGGGGGGCGGGCGGAGAAGATATGTATTTTACACAACAGGCCAGTCCCTCCCGGATAGATCACTCTGCTTACAAAGAATGCTTGATGCTGTCATATGTCAGTCATTTTAATTCAGGGACATGAATCAGTTATCAGTCAAGAACATGTGTGGAGGCAGGAGTAAAAAAAAAAAAACAAAAAACAAAAAAAACAAACGCCCCCCCCAAAAAAAACCCAAAACAAACAGAAAACAAACCCATAACAAACCGGAAGCTCCATGTCTCTGAATTACTCCCTTTAGCAGCTATCCCTTGGGTGAGAAGTCACCCTAGTACCAATGTGAATAGACCAGGGAGCCAAACGGACCGTGCTTTTCTGTTTTCTAATGCCTTCATTTTGGAAATGCTGCAGGACCCTTGCCTTTATCATTAACAGCTAATAGCTAGAAGAGAAACACTTTCTTCCCTACCTTAAGATGTATAAAATCAAAGCTGGGGAGCAACAGCAGGGACTCACTCCTGTGGTCACCACATGACTCTTTCTGGCAACAGATCCTTGCCAGGTCACACCTTTCTTCCACTATGGGCGGAGAGAAGCCTCAGGGGCTCTGGGTTTTATGTCCTGTAGTGTTCATGTATGCCAAGTGGTTGCGTGCTTGGTTGGGTGTCTTTGGAGGATAACCAGAAGCCAGGCAGAGCAGCCAGGAGAGCTCAAGACCATGGACAGAGAAGTGGCTCAAAGAATGCTCTGGAAGATGGAAATTCCTATGGCTTTGGAGCTAGTTAGTACAAAGTGCCTCTGCCTGCCCTTACGTGCCCCCTTACGATCACCACAAACTTCCAGGGACAGCCGCCCCAGGATTGGGTGTTTTACCTTTTGCCAACACTCTTGATATGTTTACTTTGTACTGACCTTCTGATGCAAGAGAAATCACAGAAATATCAATCAGTGCCCTGCCAGACATCATCCAACATCCTTTTTTTCTTCCTTACCCCTTTACTGGCTCCCAACACTTTGTACTTCTAACCCTCAAGCCAGAAAAGCTGGTTGCTATTTATTCTCCTGTCCCTGGGTCCTAAATTCCTGACTCTTGAGGACTTGGGAGCAGGGAGTTCGTAAAAGGACAGATGAGCTAAGCTGTGTTTCAGAGAAAGGGGAGGAAGCCCAGCAGGAATGCTGGGATCTCAGGAAAGAAAAGAATGATCTTTTTCATACTCCAGAGTTCATTCTGAGATCTGTTTCCTAATGAGGTGTTTATTATCCGCAGTCTGAGAGCATGTTTGGAAATATTATTATAATTCCAAAAACCATGCCAACTGTCTCAGGCTGTGCAGGTAAGAAGATTGTAAAAAGAATGAAGACAGGAGGGAAGAGGAGAGGAAAGTGTCTTTTTAATTCTCCTGCTTCGCAAGCACAAATTCCTATCATCTATCAGCATGTGGATTCCAGCCACAGCCAATCAGAATTGCCTGCCAAAGACCAGAAACTCAGAAGAATATCCTGTTGCATAAAGATCTCCTCCACTTCTGCTCATCCCCAGCCACTCAGCACCCGATACACTTTGGTAGCTCTGTCTGATTTCTGATCGCATGCATTCATCAGCTCCTAAGGTCTCCCCTTCCTCAGTAACTGCCTCTTCCGTGATTGACAGAATAAGCTAAGCACGGACATACAGACATGGAAATGCATTATTTTTTTTTTTTTACCACAGTTAAAAAAAAAAGAAAAAAAAGAAAAAATGCACAATCTTTGGAACAAAAGAATTAAAGGCAGAAATGTAAAGGAAAAATACATATTCAAAGAACATAGTGAGGTATAAAAAAGTATTCTCTCTTTTTTTGTTTTTTTGTTTTTTTTTTTTTTTTTGTTTGTTTGTTTGTTTTTCCTCTTCATCTTGCTATAGAGTTCCTCTACTAGTAAATATTGCAATAGCCAGGCCTCATGAACTGGGGGGCGGTCCCATTTGCAGGGTCTCACGTCACTTCAGTAGGGGGCAAATCGGCTGTAGCCACCTCGGTATAAACTCGCCTGCAGTAATTAAAGACATAAAAAGAATTAAAAGTTTTTTTTTTTTTTGAGAGAAGCACTGAAAATGAAGGAAATGTCCTGAAAAGGAATTTGGAAAAATAGCTTCTTTAGAAGCTGCAAAGCAACTGGTAAGATGCTACCAGTGGAGTCAGGAAACCAGCTTCTGCCTCTAAGATGCTCAAACCAGAGTCCCACTTACTAGTGACCTGATACTCTCAAGAAGAGAGGATGGCAATGCTTTGTTTCATTATTTACATGAATCAGCACAGAAGGGAAACTCAATACAATTTAAAGCCAGGTCTGTAAATAGTTTGACGTTTAAAAGCAACAGGTTTTGTTTACTTTGATTACATCATCACAATCGTGACCTAAAGCAGCTAGCTGATTTCACCTTCATACACATCACCGGTCCATGGAGAACAGGCTCCCCTGATCACTAGCTGTCATGTACCATGTCTGAGATGGTGCTGGATTTAAACCAGAATCAACCTTTGCACTCATTAAGTCCAGCTCCTCTCTGATATATAAAATATGCCAACTATGCTGCTTCTGGACATACCCGAATGTATTTCTATCTATCTCTGTGGAGTTATAACTGGGCTTTATTCCTTTATCAGGATCAGCACATAAAATCTCAGGAACTTTCATCACTGTCTTTATCTTGTCTATCTCTACCTCAACTCCACACCTACTTCCCCTCAGGATCCTGTTACTTCCCCCCACAAATCTTTCTATCCATAGAAACTGAATGGAAGAAATGACAGGTTATCTCATATTCCTCTAAATCTTAAATTTCATATATCACTCTGCCTCCCTGTCAAACACCTCCTTCCACATTCCCAGGCTGCAGCCCAGCTGAGAACGCTGGGGAGGTCTCTGTGGAATGGTCTGTCTCTGCAGCCAAGAGGCATCCAGGCCAACACAGAAATACTGCCTACTGCAGTGAGGATTTGAGTTTGATTAGAAGGAGGTACGGGTAGAGGTGGGGAGTTATTCTAGATGAGCTCTATAGACCTTTCCAACACTTCTAAGAAAATACTATATTTCGCCACAAATGTTGTGGATAAAAAATATCTTTGTAAGGTATTCATTTGGTGATTCCCAGTACTACCTGCCAGAGGGCTCAGAAACGGCAGGGATAACCTTTGGTATCCACATTTGAAACTAATGTCTATTTTTTGAAAAGCTTACTGTGAAAGCTGGAGAGGCTCATGCCCCCACATCTTTGCTAACACCTATCAATTAAACCAAGCCACAGGCATATATCCAACAGCTGAACCAGTATAAAATGTCAACCTGTTTCCTTCTTTCTCTCCCAAATGATGCCCTTACTCAGGGCAGACTGTCACTACTCATTCCTTTCTGTCTTTAACCAGGTCAAGTTGCTCACACTATAACACACAGATAAAGAGGGTGATGTGAACTTTTTAGACTCTGTGGCTTCAGTACTCTGGCAATGGAAGAAGGCCTGAATTTATAACCTCTCTAGATCTTTTGGAATCTGTAGGTAAAAGCTAAAAGGAGTAAAGTGGTTAAAAATAAAAAAGGTACACATAATACTTACCACAGCGCCAACTCCATAGCTAGCGGCAGGGGCAAGGGCATGGTAGGGGTCGGCTGTGTACACCCTGCCATAACTGGAAAGAAGAAATACAATCAGGGAGATCAAGCAAAGGCTGTGCTCTGGAAGAATGAGCGAGTTTGCTGTGCTAAAGACATACGAATAACCTGGTCTTGGAAAGTTATTAGGGAACTTTGTTTCTACTCCCAAGTGCAGTTACTCTGAAAAATTCTGAAGTAGTTTCATAAAATGGGAAAGAAAGGAGTCGAGGGATGAGGGAGAGGGAGAGTGGGGTCCAAGCAAAGAAAGGAGTCGAGGGGAATAAGCAGGAGGAGGTGGAGCAGCTTCTGGACCACAGGTGTCCCTGATGCCAGGTGGCATCCAGGCAGTGGCGGCAGGAGGGAAGTGGGCGCCCCCCAGCCCCCCTTCCCGTGAGCTGCACCTACCCGTCACTGTAGGCGGCAGCGGCAGCGGCGGCGGCTGTGGCCGCTGTTGCAGTAGCGGGCTGTGCGTATCTGTAGGCTGCGTATCCGCCCTACAGGAGAGAAGAGAACTGACTTTACAGATACCTCTCCCCCCATGGCCAGACAAACACACACCCACCCACACACAGACATACGCGCACAAGGACACAGGGACAGACACAAACACAGACACACCTGGGAGGATAATGTTTCAAACTGCATCAGTCTACATGTTATCATTCCTCTGGCACAGAATTAAGCTCCACCCAATGCTGGGATGTGCTTTCCAATTTGGGAAAGTAACACAAGTAAACTCTCCTGGCAGGACCTGTTCTCAGATTGAAGAAATGAAGGTATGATTTCAGATGTCTTACTTCACAGTCTTTGCTGGGACTTTTGATAGGACAAATATTTGCAGGGAGTTTGGAGAACTTTACCTGACTGCTGGGGAAAGTAAATTACAGAACTAGAACATGCTAAATGTGTATGTGTTAACATCAGAGTCTCAGATGGGTTCATTGCTGAGACTACGGACTGTATGCAATGGAAAGGTCCTCTATAGTGCCGTGTGCTCCTCTTGGCTAGCACGTTTGCCAAGAGGCTAAGGTAACTGGGCAACTGTGAGAAGGAAAACCCAGCAGAGATCAGGGGTTTGCAAACTTCATTGTGTGGGCCCACACAGCTTGGCCCTGCTTTTTGAAAGCAGGTGTGAAGAGACTGGCCTCCAGTGCTAAAAATATTGAATGCCTGGCCCTTCACCGAAAAAGTCGGCCAGCTCTGATCTACACTTCAGACTCCTGCAAATCACATCACCAACAGCTGAGGCCTCTGCAGTGGGATTCACCTAGATGAGGAAGCCCTCCCTCCACACCCCGGGCATTTAACTGCATTTACTCTCCTCTCCTGGAAGATTCGGAGATTCTTACACTCCAGTCTCACAGCAGGCTTTGGAGCTCTTCTGTCAATGGGTTCAATATCCTCTCAGTCCTGGAGAGTTTCATATTCCCACGTCCTGTTTCTTCCCCTCAGTTTAGGGGAACTAAATACCCCAAAGGTTTTCACTGTCAGGGTCAACCATATGTACTCCCCGTATTTCAAAGATAATCACAATTAAGTGCCACATGAGACAGGCCATTTTAAAAAGTGGCAAGCCCTATGTTTTCCTCTTCTTTACCCTTCTAGAATTCATCTATTTCACCTAAACCTAAATCAGGTGTGAATTTTTATTACTATCTTCTTTCTATCAGACAGAAGAACTATGTTCAGCTGGTCCACTTAGGCACCATTTCATTTGTGCTTTCTTCAAGCAGCACACACTGCGTTATGGAGGAACGATGAAGTGTATACTGCTTGAAGTCATCCGAAGCATATTCGGACTGACACAGTATCACTGATGGAATTTCAGTCGTCATGCACTATTCCTCTTTGTTTGAGTAAATCACTCAGAAAAGTAAACATTTCTTTCTCAATTACAAATTCTTCCACAGATATCCGTATAAATTAGAAGATTCTAATTAATATTACCAGACACTGACAATGAAATGGCTAGAAACCATAGCAGGAAGCACGCTCAGCGCTGTGTGTGATCCACATGTTTCCTGTGTCACCTATCCGGGTTTATGGAATCGGGCAGGCCAATGCTGCTGTATCTGCGTCTGTAACTCTGCATCTACATATATACGTTATATAAACTAAAGGGTCTCTTTACATTATTCCTTTTTTTTTTTAAACTTCTAAAGAGGACATAAAGCAGGAAAAGCATTTGTTAGAACAACAAGCTCATCTTTATAGTTGAAATCTTAAGCTTTAAGTGAACCTTTAAAGGCTCATTTTTTTATTATAACTACAGGTGATTCCATGAAGTTTAGAACTGAAGTTTGTTGGTGTTAAGTCTACAGCAGGGCTGTCTTCAGTAAAACTTCTTTGTAAACAAGTATGATGTGGTAAACAAACAGTATGTGGTTTGTCTCTTTAGCATTCCTTCAAACACCAAAATCATCTTTAAAAATTTAAAAAGTCAAGGCAATAAAAGCAGTTAAAGCCCAATTTATGTTTGAGCAAAATATTTAAAAACTGAAGTTCTATGCCATTGGACTGAGTATACATTCTCATTAAGGGATTCTGAGGCTTGAAAGCACTGATCTCACTTTATAAAGTCTCAGGAAAGTCAGAGATACCGGGGATTCTATCAAATGGTAGCTTTGAGCAGTAGTGCACTAATTCTGGAGAAAGAGGTTCTGAATAAGGCCACTGAGAGAACCACTTCCCCTTATCTTCCTCAACCTGTAAGAAGCCTGCAGAACCTTAATGATTTTGGGGTGATGTTACTGTTAACCAAAGCAACTCAAAATAGATCAGATTGTGAGGAAGCAGCTTCCTTCCAAACCAGGAGACAGGGAGATTATGTGCAGTAGTTTCCTTCTATTTTAAGTGAACTTGGACTTTGGAGTTTGAATTTGATGAGGTTCTTTGCATTTAAATTCAGGAAAACAGGACAGGGATACAAATGTTTCATTGCCTATTAAAGGTTTGAGAAGAGTATCAGCATTTAGAACTACATTAATGTGCTTTTCTTTTCAAAAGCTGTTAAATACCTCAACATGACTACTCTCCTAATTACTTTATAATGGTGCTACAGAGAGGCCCTATAAAGTGGGGGGGCTATCTTTAGGATGGGCAGATAATATTCTCATAAACTACTTTGGTCATTCATTCATCAGGGACTACCCCCCAAATTAGAAAAGTTAAATTGTATATTACGGATTTACCTCTCTCAGATGTAGTCTTATCACAAGCATTTCTGCTACTACTTTAAACAAAATATATCAGAAACTGTAAGACCAAGAAAATTCAGATGTATTTATTTCTACTGAGTTCGGAGTGCATCAAGCTTCCAGGTGGAGAAATTGTTTTCTCAACTTTCACCTCTACTAGCAAGTCTGAGGTCTTTTATAGAACATGAGAACAAAGTGCAGTTTGAAACACCAAGGTTTTCATTACTGTTTCTTAAGTTTTTCAAAAAGAACAAGGGTGGGGATGGGAGTTGGAGAGACAGGGTTCAGGCGTGGGGGGGGGTATGGCGCCACATTTATTAATCACATTAAAAACTAAGCATGCCAACATCTGGAGCTAAACAACCAGCAAAATCACCACGTTCAGACTCGTATTGGCTAACTCTATCTATCCCAGCATTCTCTTGGGACAGCGGTTGGCCCTAGGCTCTACCACAAGCTCGGTGAAGTACACAGCCTCAATTACTAGAGCGTGCAGCCACAACAACCTGCTATTACGGAAACAGTCAGTCACCACTTGAGTTAACATTCCAGACCCTAACGACTGGCCCTCCCCAACCCAAAGAAATAGTCAAGGTCGCCCACCCTCGCCCTGGCCCACACCACAATGTTAATAATTATAACAAGCAGTAACCCATCTGTTATATCAGAGAAGGGAACAGAGACTCCACTGAGAGATTTAGAGTGAGATGTTAACATGTCTTCAGCTGACTGCACAAACAAACAAACAAAAAAAAAGAGGAGAAATAATTCATTTGGAGATATGAAGTCATGAAATAGCTGATGTGTATTGCTTTTAACCATGCACTGATGCAAAACTGAAGCAACCATTAAGAATAAAAATTAAAAAGGACATATGTATTTACACACAATCAGACCTGTTGGATCTGAAGCAGTTTGCAGATTCTATCTGTGTGTGATTTGAAATAAAACAAAAAATGGGGATTAGCATGGCCACAGCACACCCTAATGTAGGAGGGCACACACGGACTGCTTTTTGGAACCCTGATAGCTGGATACATTTGGCATGGCTGAGCCTGATCCAAATATACACGTGCCCCTTTAAAAGGACTCCTTTGTAATTCACTGTGAATGCCTCCAGAGCGTTCTCAACAGGGGCAGCCCAGCACTCCATCACTCTGCTATGCACCTTCCTAACCTTGATATCATGGTTCGGTCCTGACCCGCAGCACGAGCTTGGGTGCCAGCCCTCAGGCAGCACCCATCCATTCTGACCCAGCGTTCTTCTAACATAGTGCCTGGGCTTAAGCGTTCTATCTTTCCACATATCCATGACACATCCCTGCCTTCAACTTCCAGCTCTTTCCCAGGAAAGTGCAGTTACCTTAAGATCCTTTTGTTGTTCAAGTCTCAGCTCTCCAGGATCCACCAACACCTTCTAGGGGTTCTCTACTCTGAACTGATTTTATCATTTAATTAACTTTGTAATGTTGCCACACTGACCACAGGACTTTTCTAAAACAGTTCTGTTTTAACCAGAACAAAATGGAAAGGCTCTATATGTCACCTCTTCTATATCTGACTTTTATCTGCATTATCTATTAGCTTGATCTCACACTGGACAGTCCCCTTGTCTTGATTTTAACCTAGCCATTCATTTTATTAAATTTTTCTTTTAGATTTATATTAAAACAGGACTTTGGTGAGCATGTGATGTCAAGACACCTTCTTTCTACCTGGAAGACAGTGACATTAGGTGATACTGAGGAGAAGAGTGTGTATTTCAGGACCAGCAGACAAAATGAGCATGTGTTCCTTGCATGTGGTGTACAGATTTACAGAGCAAAGGGAGTGGGGGGTTGGTGGGTGGAGAGAAAGGCAGGTGTAGTGCTTAAAAACACTACAGGGAGCAGGGAGCAGAGATCTAGCCCAAGGAACATGGGTTGAATGCTGTGCCTCTGGGGACCACTTTATTTGTCACTACCCAGTTGTAACTCTTCCCTTCTCTTGCCTCCTCCCCGCTCTAGCTGAGAGCCATTGCTCTAGATGGACCCAGCAGGAAGGGCTCTTAGAAGACTGTTCTTCTGTGGCAACATGGCACCCCTGGATTAAATGTAACACAGAAGTGAATACAAACACTTGTAATAATGATAATATTGTTGCTGTTTTTGATGGAGACCTATCTACTTTTAAAAGTAGATAAGAAAAGGTCTTAAGGAGAAGTATTTAAATTTTATTTTATTATTATTTAAAATTGGGGTGAAGGGAAGAAACTGTTAGGATCAACTTCTTATCTTCCACTTGTGACTTCAACGGTAGATGAGAGATGATTTTTAACGAATAACACACTCCATATTTCACATCTCCCCAAATTAGTTCATTTCCCAAATCTCGCTGGGTAGGCACAAGGAGAGACTAGCTGAATTGGACAGGCTGTCAGTGGTTCTCTTTCCCCAAGCATCCAGCTATCAGCAAACCTAATAGTGTGTTATTTCCCAATGAACTCCCTGACCATGTTTTAAGAAGAAAGGCGAAGAGGGCAAGGGGAATACATGTTTTCAAGTTTTAAAGTCCCAGTGGGTCTAGATTTTCAGGCAACTTCAAACTTAGGTAACAGCACAGTCCAATCACTACTACAGTCTCACCTGGGGGCCCATTCGGGGTTTCAGGAGTTTTGTGAGCACAGACTTGATTTTGTCCCTTCCCTCATTTCTTTCACAGTGGAGAGAAAATGTCCCCACCTGCTAAGATCTCCAAGTATAAAAGCCCAGTTTAAATACCATGGATAAATGTGATTGACAAATTAAAAGAGGTGGCAGTGATGGGACAGTGCATAGCATACGCCTGGTGTGGACAGCAGCAATGGGACAGGAGCACTTAATTTTGGAGGAGGTGCCATCACGTATAGAACTTGACTGTGCGCTGCTGAGGTAGCAGGGCTTAGATCACACGCTCACAAGTCTCGGTTGTCCAAAAAAGCCTCTGTTCCCATCTCTAACGTGGAGCTGGAATGGTTAGTATAATTCAATTTTTTCACTGCAATCCACAATCTGATTGATTGGCAGGTCACACTGGCACTCCTACCTGAGGTATTTTAGCGCTAATGATTGGTTCCTGTAAGACTATTCTATAACAGAACACAGGAAGAGCAGTTCAAAAAACACAGCTGTGGAAGGAAAACAATCATACAAAAAGCCCACTAAGGGGCCCACCAGCCTTTTCTTTCCTTTGGATGCAAGCATGCTTTTCACAGGATAAGAATCGGGAGTAGTTTGTTATCCCTTTAAAAAGTGAATTAGGGCGAAGTACGCCTTTTCTACTGGTCAAGAAAAAGAGGGGTGGGGAGGACACACATCTATCTGCTACCCTCAGGGCTTCTCACTGGAGTCTCTTTACAAACTGCGGGCACAATTGCTAGATCTGTTCTCCAGAGAGGAACGTGCCACAAAAGAAACAGAAAGGAAGCAAATGGCTAGCAGGGATTACGGACTAACAACAGAACAGGGAAGGGATTTAAAAAAATCTCCACATTTAATAGCCTAAATTGGTGTAAATTAAAACAAAATGGGCAGCTTAAACTCTTTTCCCTCATGTTTCTTCAAGCTCTGATTCAGTGTGCTCCAAGTACCGGATAAACCCTCCACTTTTCCTATTACTAATCTATTATTTCTGAGGAAACAAGGATTCAGTGTATAGACAGATTTCCACAGGCAGGGAAATGTACAGAAAGAAGCAGAACAAACTCAAGGAAACACAGAGGGTGTGTGTGTGTGTGTCCCTTGCTACCTCACATCTGGAAGCAGGAATATAAAGTTCTCCAAGCTGTTGTTACATGAGCCTTCACTCAACAGCTACCTCAGTGTGTAGTCTAGTCTTGTTTTTCCTTAGCAGGGTCAGATACTATTGTAGCCCTGGTGACTGAATTTTCCCTCCAAGTGACTGCTTTAAGATAGGAACTAAGAAATGATAATAACATTATGATTAATTCTTTTTGTTAAGAAGTCACCACTGGTCAAACAAGTATTTCAGTAAGGTTACTAAATTATTTCTGACTAGTTTCATAAAGTGTAGATTAAAAATTTTTTTTCAAGAGTATTTTCTAAGTACAGAAAAATCATTTCTCTCTTAATAAAATCTATATTGTGAACTAAAGAAATGAAAGCACTATAAGCAAATATTTGGTTGGTTCCTTTATACAAGGTGGAAGTAGGCAAATCTAAATAAGGTAGAAGTAAATCATACTTAAAAAAAAAAAAATTCCCAAAGAAGATTAGAGAGAAAAAAAAACCCGAGCCTTTGACTTAAGAAATAATTCCAATGAAAAAGCATGTTCTAATTGATCAGATTTCAGGGAAACAATTTAAATAACATAAAGATGAGTATCATGAGAATACGGAGACTAATGTATGTGGGAGAATGTACACGCTAAGATCATATGCAAATACATATATCTAGAAAAATATCATTTGGTATAAAAGTAAGAATATTTCCCCAACCCTCAAGTTTTACTGTGACCACAAGAAAAAAGGTATCTTTCATTGCTTCTTGAAAACCATCTGAGCAAAGATGTGGATTTTAATTAAAGCACTGAGAGAGGTAATGAAATATGGATTAGCTGAGTTTTGTGCTTGGCTATAAAAAATGACGTAATCTGGGAGAGTCACAACCTAAGAAATATATATATATATATAGGAAGTGAGAGGGTTGGACTAATTCATGGCTAGGATTCCTTTAAGCATTTGTTAAACAAGGGCTAACTTTGCAGGTCTACTCTAAATAGGATAGGTGTGTCCAGTCACCTATATTATCTCAGAGGACTGCTCTATCTTATCTCTACTTCCTGCAACACACACAACCTCTAAGTACATTCTGAAAGTGCATTACAGTTTTCTCAATGCCAGAGAATCTCTGGCAGAAATCTGTGGAAACAGGTCACTACAAAGGTATACACTTACTGATTTGGGGAAGTAAGGGTGGAGAAAGCATTTCTGGACAATTTTTAACCTATGCCCAAGGAATAATTGCATGCTGACAAGTTTTTCTTAAGAAATTGTTTCTTAATGATTTGTGCGGTTTGACTAAGCTTGTATTCAGAAACAGATCATGTGGAAAGGTCTTATCAAAGATTTCAAAGCTCAAAAACTTTTGGATTCTTGTCAGTTAGATCACTTTGTCCGCATGTTAAATATGTGACAAACCAATCACAGAACTTAGCTACAAGACAGTTTTAATAATGGATAATAATAATGATGTTACCATAGTTGGTAGACTCAACAAATCCTGTGTGATCGTCAAGTGTTTGTAAGAAGAGTCTAGGTTGCTACTTATGCCACTTGCTTCCCTCCAGATGGCTCTTAAGAAGAGACCCGCCAGCTGTGGACCTTTGGATAAAGCAAGGCCTGAAGCACTGTGTTTGGTTTCCTCTCATTATCCCCACTCTTCATGGGCATCAGCTCCTCCCTTCTCTTTCACAGGGTAATGCTTTCTCAAAATATGTAAAATAGGAAAACATAGTTTAGAAAGCTTACTGCCATCTACATAACTCAAAGCTCCAATGATCTAAAGAGGGATATGAAATGAGAAGAAAAGCAAAAAGGAGAGAGAGAGCTGGTTTAAGCTAATATAACTATCCTGTTATTTATGTATGCACATGACACGACAGTAATAAAAGACTTTAAACCTGCTGATCATCTCGCAAATAAATCACTCGTACATAGAACATCTGTGGGTGTAGGGAAGGGAAAAGAATATGTCCAGTAGACTGACTCTAGCAATGATCAGGAAACCCAAAGGCTTAGTTTTTGCACCCAGGGTCAAGCGCAGTGGCAGAGAAGCATGCTTGCATTCTTAAATATATAAATATATATATATATATATCCACAAGGAAAAAGAAAATAAAAATTAAACAAATTATATGTAAAAAAACAAAAACAAAAACAAAAACAAAAAAAACCAAACCAAACCAAAGAAACAGAAAAAAAAAGGCTGGCTTGTCAGGGAATGGGGTCGAGAAGGCCCCGGTATGTGTACTTACATAGAGGTCAGCACCGTAAAATCCGTCCTGGTAAACCACACTGCAGAAAATCCACACAAAAACAAAAACAAAAAAACAAAAGAACAGAAACACATTCCGGTTATTGAGGACGGCAGCATGCACATGCGCTCTACACAGGCAGGTGATGTATGAATACATAACCGGGGCTGGGGGCCACAGCGCGTCAGTGAGAGAAACGTGAAAGTGCACACGCACATTACACAGCTCCAGGACATGCGAGGAGGCAGAGGAGTGCAAAACTGGAGTGAATACCTGGATACTTGGGAATTATAGGAAGATTAAAACCATAAAAAGCACTCCCAGAGGGCCTAACAGAACCATTGAAAGGCTGCTGGATTAGAAACATCAAATTTCCTACCCGGAGTTGTTTGTTTTGTTTTTAAAAAAAGCTTGCCCTAGGAATAAATTTCAAAATGACTGTGTGTGTATGGGGTGGGAAGAAGCATGGAGGGAGGGGTCTAACATGAAAAAAAAGAACCTAAAGAATGAGGGCAGGACCTGTATATAGAGGATGTTTCAAAATTATGTTTAGTATTTTGTTTTCACGTTCCTAGAAGTATGCACATTTTTTCTGATATCCATACATCACCTGCTTTTTTACCCTGCACATTAGACATGCGATAAGATTTGGCTGATCACACAAGCATGCAAAGTATTATTATTCAGCATTTTAAGAACCAATGCAACACCTCAGAAAAACAAGTCAATCAATTCTGACCAAAGTAAACAGAGAAATGTAATTAAAAAAAAAACACAACCAAAAATACCCACAATGCATTGCTTTCACAAGCAGAGATAATGAGCTAAAGGTTAAGGTGATTGGTCCAAGGTCCAAGAATTGAAAGGTGCAGTGGGGATCCCAGATAGTAACAATATAATCCAGAGTGGGAAGGAGGAACTGGAAGATTTTAAGGGTTCTTTTTTGACCATAAGCGCATTCATGGAACTCTAAAAAATAGAATTGATAACTGATGTTCTGGGCATGACCAAGGATCATCCTGTTTTATTTATTAAAAGGATCAAACTGAAAAAGTAGCTGATTAGCAACAGAAGGGCTTATTTTCCTGTTTAGAAAAATGAATTTGTATCAAACAAAATACATGAATTTGTTTTTGTTTTTTTAAGTCCTGGGCAAAACTAAGCTATTATAATCAAAGATTTCAAACCTTTTGAGGTATTTTTGTGCATACAGACTTCCCCAAAATATTACTTTGGGACCAAAAGACATGGAACAGCAGTAGAGATAAAAGATAAGACTTTCTACTTCATATTTGTTAAATCAAGATTTGGATATGTTTATTGTTTATTCAACTAAACAAGCTGGAAAATTTAACCACTATCTTCTCTGTTGTAATAAATAAACTAGTAAGTGAGGTCTTTAAATCATATTTTTAACTTGAATATGAAATAATTTATTTTTTGCAGGTAGCTGGAAGGTTTCTGAATTCTACTTACAATGACATTTTGTTGGGTTTACAGGGTAGGATGGTCATACTGTGCAATGCCCCAAATATGCTGTGCCTTTGTATTACACAACAGGCAGACTAAACTCATCTGTGATGCTCATTTTGCTACTACATTCTATCCATTTTCATAGTTTCCAATTGCAGTTAAAGCTTGATTATTAGAAAGTAATCTGCTACTCAACTACATTTTAGTAAAAAAGGCATCTGTTCATAATGAGAAAGCTGACAGAATGGAAAGCACTGAAGCCAAGTGGTGATTAATTAACTTTCGACTATTTCAGTAGGGGATACAGGTAAAATTTACAAACATCTCTTCTACAGAGAGGGATAGTGGCATTAAAAACAGGAATCAAGTTTACCCTAAATTGTATCACTCAGTGGGAATATTCACCTAAATTCTAGAAGAATTCTAATATTCCCTGTATCAAATGCCACAAGGAGGCTAGAGCACAATGATTAATGATGAAATTAGTTTACTAAGCTTAAAAGCAATTTTAGGCCATTCCCCATATAATACTGGACTTATTCCTTGCCATCTTCCATGTAAACTGGTGGTTTAGTTAATAAAAAAGAAAACATGGGAAATCAGCGTTCAATGTAATGCAGAGACTGGTATGGTTAGACATAAAGATAAAATATCTTTGAGTGAACACAATCCTGACACAGAGAATGGGTTCTTAAGTTTGGCCAATATACTAAAATGAGCTACATTGAGTAGGAACAAATCCAACCGTTTTTGTAAAGTAACTCAGGAAAATTACAAAATAAAGAAGTCCCATGTTTCTGGTGAGTGGTATTGCTTTGCAAGCATGACGGTTAACTCTCTTGGATTGAAATGGAAGGCGCTTCAAGAACAATTTTCCTGGTGTGCAGAACTTCCAAAAGGTTTGCTTTTATGTTTTACTTGAGTATTTCTTGATGAGGTAATACTGCATCTTTATTCACTTCTTTAAAGAGATGTCAGAGGTTGAAGGTCAAAGGTCAAGTTGAGAGAAGAAAGAATAAAATTAAAAGCAAGTAATGGCAGAAGATGGAGATGATGGAATGCATGGGATTTGAACATCTATAAATTGCAAACAAAAGTTTATTTCTAAAGCAGTTCCCTTCCAGCGGCTTTTGGAGTCTGTCCATTTCAACATGCACACTTGTCTAATAAAAATGCTTTAAATCTATGTAACAGAGGACCCCTAATGGCATGTCCACTTGGTCTAGAAATGAATGCTAAGTTAGTATACCTCAAAGCCAATTTTGCTGTCAGAAAAGGACCTACAAAGGAGTCTCTTTCCCTTTGTGTTTTAACTAAGTAGGAATGAATAGGCTCCTCTGCCCCTATGTTTATTCCTCAGGAAGAATATGGAGAAAAACCTGTCATAGGCAGAGAAAAGATGAAGAACACGAATGTCACATCTTTGAAGAAAGAAAGTCCTTGGTACAACTAACTTACTGAAGTCCACTCTTTATAAAAAAGAAAAAAATATATATATACATTTTAGGCTGATCCTGAGAAACAACTAAAAACAAAACCTGCTATCTTCACTCCTTCTCCCCCATTCAATAGCAAAGGATTTATTTGTTGCTATGGAATCATTCCACTGCATGAGACACCCTCCATACAAAAATCAAAGGGTGAAGGATGCTCAGCTACATTAGTTGTTTTACCATCATTCAGAAGCCAACTGTAGTTTAATTCTTCCTACTTCTCCCTTTCTCCCTGGATTCAATTGGACTTGGTTCATCTTTGAATTAACCTCTTGTAATCCGTTTCCTACAGAGAAAGCAAATCCATTGTGGGTAGCTAGCTCTGCTGCTCACCACCCAGGCAGTGAAACCAAAAGGGAGGGCGATGTGGTAGCCTCAGCCCCAACACAGGGCGGTGATAAGGGGGTGAGCACAGCAGATGCAGTCTCGTACTACAGTCTTGAGTTCCTATTTTGTTCTCTGCAGTAGTGTTAATCCATATTCGTGCGATGCTGAGTGAACTCCATGCCAACACACTGCTAGTAAACACAAGACAGTTCTGGCTGCTGTCTTAAGCCACTACCACGAGGGCTTAAGGTGGCCAAAATGAAGATTTATAAAACAAATTGATATTTTGTACATTCTGATGATGGTATATTTTGATTCTTGCCATCTGATCCATTAATTTAAAAATATTCATAGAATCTCTACAATGTGGCACGGCAACGTCCCAGAAGTTGTGACAGGGCCATGGTATTCTTTTCCGTCCAGCTGCTTATTTTGGAATCTAGTGCTTACCCTGGATAGGCGGGAATGGCTGTTGGAGGTACCGCTCGGACTGCACCATATACTGTCCGCCCTCTGCCCCTCAGATGGGCTCCTCTGAAAGCGGCTGCCGTGGTGGCTGCAGTCGGGTAAGGGAAGCCAGGAACTAAAGGGAGACCCAAAATATGACAGGAATGTCAACTTGAATTCAATAGCAGGGGTACAATAACAACTTGCTTTGAACCAATTCCAGGAAAGGTTGAAAGAGATTATCACATCTTTTCTGAGAAAGAAATTGAGAGACCCAATATGCAAAAACTAATGATGCATGCTCCGTTCATCATCCAATCTCGAGTGAGTTTACTCTGCTCCTTCACAGTTCTGGCCTTTACAATGCAAACTGGTGAGAAAGAGGTCAAGAAGCTCTGAGGATTACTGCCGTAGTAAGAGACAAGACTTTTAATTTCTGCAGGCAGTTTAAATTGCTTGATATTAATTCTTTAACTGGCCAATTGTTAATCTTATTTTCACATGTTGTTATGTGCATTTAATAATTATTCTTCATAAGAGCAGTCTTTTGTTTGTATGTGGTGCCAACCTCCAAGGCATACAATAATCTTTAGATATTTCATTAGTCCATTTTATTCTTTTATCTAAAATGTTTTAATCCAGAAATGTTAGGGGAGAGGAAAACGACTTCTCCCTTGTAATCCTGTGGCCTTTAGAGAGGCAGAAAGTTTCTAAAGGTCTATTTTAAATGTGCTATCCTCTGAAAAGCACACAGAGACATTTACTCCATGTTCACTGAACTCTTTTTAATTATACCTTGCTAGAGCAAAATGGCTCAGGTCAGAATGACTTCAGAGAGGTATCAACAGAGGGAGAATAATCATTAAGGCTGGAGGCGCTTCTAAATGATACTCTACTAAAAAGCCCAAAGCTGACCTGCAGAGAACATGCATATTATATTCCACAAGTACCTATTTCTTTGGTTTTAATATCAAGTGCAGACTAAAATGTTCTACACATGTCCTCAATCCCCTTGACCTTTTCCAACTATGCTTCGTGGCAATCTCAGTATCTGGTCAGAAAGATTCTTACACAGGTTAAGCAGGACGGGACACTATGACAGCATTTAACTCTCTTGAGAAGGCCTCCTCCTCAGTTATATATTATACTTGGGGAAGAAGAAAAAGACTAGGACACATCACTGTTTACTCACAACAGTCAAAATCCATGCCAGGCCAACATAGGCTACTTACTGATTAAAGGAATGTAAGTGTTAATACCCCCTCTTCCTGATAGGGGCACTGCTGCATCATTGCCTAGGGACACGTCTGCTTGAAAGCTGGATGCTGATTGCATTTAAAAAAATTTAAAAAAAATGCAAAAAGATTACAAAGGAATAGCAGATCAAAAACCAACAGATGTTGTCATGGTTAATAGGCCAAATGGAAAAATTAATGAAATACTACCTGCATATAACTCAGGGCCATATACAGCTCCAACTACGGGGCTTAATTTCCAACCTGCAATGGAAGAGAGGACAGAGAGCATTTAAGACTCCATGAGGAAAAGGTGTGATGAGGGCATGTGAAAGCTGGCTCCAGATATCCCTGCATTTAGCTCCACCCAACACTATCTTCTCTGTAGACGCCAGCTGATGGGTCACTTCCACACCTGAGCATCTTTAGGCAGAACAAGCACAGTGAAGGGATAATAAGGGGGGGGGGGAGTTGCAGTATAGGGGCAAACGGGGAGGAGAAAAACTGGGTGGGAGGAAACAGAAGGACAAAGAAATGTAAGAAATAAAAGTAAATCCTGGGCTCTGGTTTCGTCTCTCTCATAGAACTTAGAACATATTCTTTGAAAAAAAAATTCTTTGTTTTTTGAAAAATGAGAAAGGCAGAATATATGTCATTCTACACCACACTGTGATGCACTTTCTTATTCATCATCTTCACACTGTTTACTACTCTCACTGCTTTATAAAGGTATCCTCTGAATTTAAATTTGAGCTGATCTTTGACTCTGTTCAATTATACCATACTGATGGAAATCTGGGTAAGTGAAAATTCCCTTTCTTTGGGATTTACCAATGGAATTTCGGTGCAGTTAACCTCAGCCAAGTGAACAAGAAGAGACACTCAGTAATAAAATTCAAGGTACATCCCCAATTTCATGCATTTCTTGGGATTTTAAGTGGTAATAAACATACTTAATCAGTTGTTTTAGCTAAAGGATACTAGACTGCTGTTGAGTACCAACCTAAGCATTTATAAACTTTAAGTACTTGCAAACATTAGGTTTGATGTCAACTTTATTTCTTCATCCCCCTTTTTTATATTTATAGAAATATAGCAGATGTTAAAAGAGAAAAATGTACTACTGCCCATTGATAGTTAAGGAGTAGAATTTCTTTCTTTCTTTTTTTTTTTTTTTAAGGATTTTATTTATTTATTCAGGAAAGACACATAGAGAAAGGCAGAAGGAGAAACAGGCTCCATGTAGGGAGCCTGACGTGGGACTCGATCCCAGCACTCAAGGATCATGCCCTGACCCAAAGGCAGGCGCTAAACCACTGAGCCACCCAGGGATCCCCAAGGAGTAGAATTTCATATGAAAACTTTAATCAATAGACTTTTATTGAATTTTACACAAATAAGCAAACATGCTCCACTATTTTTCTGAAAGACTGGAGACAGTATTCAAGAGAAACCCATTTATCCTGAACCAATCTAACCCCCGTTCATTATTTTATGTGCTCATAGATGGTGAACACATGATTTTACATAAAAATTGGGCAAATACCTCAGTTCAAATGTTACCGGAGTTGTAAGAACACAAATGTTCTACAATGTCAGACAAATCAAGTAATTCCAACCAATGTAAACTAAACCACTGAGAATTCACTAGAAGGCATCTAGCGCACTCTTTTCAGAAGCTTTAAACCACAAGCAGCTGTTGGCCTCTCAAGTTTGGCTTGGTTAGGCTTGAGTATTAATTTAAAATAATATTTTAAAAAATGACTTTTTTCTTCCTGCAAATGGCACCATTACTTAAGCATTCCCTTAAGTATATTACATATTTTAATAATGGTATGTAATGGTATGCTGTCAATAATACTTTGAGTACGTTTAGTTTTTTTTTGTATGTTTGGTTTTGTACAAATTTACAAAGTATTTTGACCTTCACAAAACCCAAAGGGAGAGGTAAGATAGGTACCACATCTGGGACAATGAATAAGTACTATACTTCTTTGGGCTTAATTTCCTAAATAATAAGCTAAGAGAGGGCTGGATTTTGATGACTTCTATAGAGGCTTCAGGTGCTAAAATTCCGTGATCACCAATTAATAGAGATGAAAACAGAATCAGGTTAAAAAAAATTGGTCCAATGACATAGTAAAATGACTCAAATCTACAAGTAGAATTTCTGTCTTCTCAATTCTAGTCAGTGACTCTTTCTACCACAGCATTCTCCCTGGATCTAAAGGAAATGTAACTTTGCCTCTCCTTCCTATTTTGTTTAAATGAGTTATTATCAAAATTGCAGAAACTTGTTTTTGTTATGGGCACTGAAAAAAAAAAACAAGAGGTAAAGGGGGAGGCAGTGGTATCACAAGATAGACCATTGATAAATGGGTAGGCAAAATGTAAATTATGCTGATAAATGCAAATTATGCTGATCTGTACCATCTGTTTGAGAAGCTGGGCTAAATCTATCTGTTGAAGACATCATGGAATATACTAAGATACTTATACTTGATTTTAGGACATTACCAGCAAATACAATACTCATCTAGCAGTAGATTCAAACTTTTAAAAAGCAGAAAATATCCCATTTGATTCTAGATAAAATTTCATGTAGAGCCCCAATATATAGGACACAGGAGTTGCTGCAGACCTCAAGACCCAACCCATGGGTTTCCTTTCCACCCTTCCCCTAGAGGCTCTGCAGATCACAGCTGGCAAAACCACTGCTGCACTGCAGATTCAAAGTAAATTCTTTTTTAAAAAAAACTATATTTATTCATGAGAGAGAGAGAGAGAGAGAGAGAGAGAGAGAGAGAGAGAGAGGCAAAGACACAGGCAGAGGGAGAAGCAGGCTCCATGCAGGGAGCCTGACGCGGGACTCGATCCTGGGTCTCCAGGATCACACCCTGGGCTGAAGGCGGCGCTAAACCACTGGGCCACTGGGGCTGCCCTCAAAGTAAATTCTATCTCATTTAGATAAATGAGTCTGGATTAAACTGACAAGTGATGTAAAAGTTCTGCTTTTGTTAGGCACAATATTCACAAGGTTTCTTTTTCAATGAGAAATATTTATGAAACCCACCATGTAACATGTAATCATGGAATAGAAGATAGAAAACCATGTGCATCATGGCTGTTAACTCTAGAGCCTACCTTTAAAAGTAGAGCAAGGGGTCAAGAATTATTCCATTCATGCTCAGGAGCAGGGAGGGCTCAGTACTAAAAGTAAGCATTGGTGGGCATGTATTATGGAGAAGCCTATCCTACCACAAAAGAACTACAGCAGTTAAAAATGAGGGTGCCCCAGTGGGACTCCACTGGGTTGATAGGTAACCTCAAATGACGTGTTTGCACTGTATATGAGGAACTTTATGGAGACCATAACAGCTGAAGTACTGAAAAACAGCTTAATTCTAAGAAAAAAAGTTAACGGTAAAAATACTCTCCTAGTAAAGAAAATACTTCAATCTAAATTAAACTGCCATAAGACTGAAATCAAGATGATTACCAAAAGTCCACATATTAATACAAGAGTAAGTGACATCTTTCTGAAGATGATTTGTAACTTCTTACCATTTGCATATGGTGTGACCATCTTCTTATTGGTCATTACACGTGCTGTAGCATTATTCACCTAAAAATACAAAGAAAAAGGAAGGGGTAGGGAGAAAGTAGACCACATTAGGGAACCTGGAGTTGCTCATCTGATAACACAGCACTCAGTTTAATAAAATGTAAATTTCAGAGAACATTGATTTAAAAAATTAATATAGCAATATAAAATATTGATATATAGTATTTTAATTAAAGTGTTTATAAAATGAGGCTAACAAGAGTAAAATGCAGTTTCTTGGTCTCCAAATGGAAAACTCGGGCTATTTTACCAATAAGTACTCCAAAGGAAAGATATATTCGTAAGTTCTTTTGGAGATCTCTTAAAATAGAGAAGTCTCTGAATTATGGAAAACACAGAAGAAATAAATTTGAAACAGCTCTGTTTGCAAACGAACTTTGAAGTTCATTAATAAAAGAGGCTTGCCACATGGGCTAGGAAATAGATTTATAGGAAGGTAAGAAAATAAATCTATGGATTTCACCTGTACTAATGTTCAGAATTGTTGATGACTGTAAGATTTTACTGTTAAAAAAAAAAAAAAAGCAAAACCCAAAAAACCCAAAAGACCAGAGCTTAGAATCCCATGTTGACCATCTTGAGGACCATTCTGAATTTTCTAGACTATGTGGTCTATACATTTAAGAATAGGTTTTCAGAAGGCCTTTAAATGAGGCATTAACTGAAAAAAATGAAGCTTCAGTTTCTTTTGTTTTATGGTTCTCTCCACCCTCATTACAGAAGTGCAGAATTTAGAGCATTCTCAGTGCTAGGGTAAGTAGATGTTACAAGGATGGCGCTGATGACAAAAAGATGAATGGAGCCTCAAAGCCAGAAGACTGCAGCCCAGTGTCAGAACCAGCCTAAAGCTCTTGCAAGGAGGGTGCAGCACTACCATAGAACCTGGCTGTACACCGTTTTGTCAGGTCGGAGAACAGACCAGTTTTTTAAATTACCGAAACATATCAAATATAAATGTCTTGCCTCTGGGAATTTACATGAAAGTTAAATTTGTATGGTGATGATAAATTTGTGTTATGGAAAGACCAATTTTAGGTGGAACTGGGGCCAAAAAAAAGTCTCAATAAGTCTTTTAGGATTTGCAGAGTGGGAACTTTCCTTTGTAAGGGAAAAGAAACTCCATTTACTCTAGTTTGACCCATCAAATAGTATAAAACATTTCACATTTAAAAAGAAAGAATGGGATACAACAATGATGAGACTGAGAGCATGCAGTTAAAACACACACACACAAATAAAAGAAAGAAAAAACAATCAGTTTTGGAAAGAAGGGAGAAAGTGAAGAGCGAGGTTCTCATAGACAAGGATTAGAATGGGGTCAGAGCTTACGCTAGCCGCTAGAGCAGAATGCACCCAAGCGCTAAAAGGAAAAATGGCCAGAACCAATCAGAAACCACCAGTCAGCAAGAGACCAATAGCCGCAGGTAACAGAGAGAAGGGGTGGGAGAGACAGAGGGAATAGAGTGGGAACAGAACTTGGGGGAAGAGAGCAAGAAGGAAGGGGAAAACGCAAAGAGAAATGGGTGTCACGGGCAGCGAAGAGCTGTCAAGGTCAAGGAAAGAACAGTGAGAGCTACAGACAGAGGTCTGGGGAAGGGGAAAGGAAGTAGGGGCAGGAAGTGCATTAATAAAACCAGCCAAACTTGGAGTTCAGTAACTCTGAGTAAGATGTGCAAGGGGAAAAAAATCACCATGATGTCAGTAATCAAACAGCTCAGACTGCTACAAACAATATGTACATCCAAAGTCCAGGCGGCATTACTCAACAGCATTGAAAATAAAAGGGGGAAAGGAAAAGGAAGAGGAACAAGTCAAATCACATTTTGTAGTGTTAATGTGAGATGGCAGATGGACTTTTTCTTTCTTATTTAATTGTTTTGTAATTAACAATTGAAAAAGCTTCTTCTCTAGTGCTTTGTTTCACTTACCGCCAACGGGCACCATCGCCAGCATTGTGTATAGTTACCATGGAAAGAGTGAGTCAAGTGAAGGGCCCTAAATGCTAAACCATCGGAAAGGGAGGGAAAAAGCAAAATATGCAGACATCTTACTCAAAATGGTGGCTTTTATAGTTCATACTTTTAAAAACTGGGAAAGGGGAAAGGAGCCAGTTAACCTTCACTGCGTTATTAAAAAGGGTTGAATAACCCCATGAGGCTGTCCTTGAGCCCTCTGTCTGAGGATTTTATCCATCAACTGTGGAAATCCTTGATTGTAAACGTATTTAAAAACTCCATGAGTTTTGGGTTCTTTTTTTTCCCTCCCCACCACCTCTGCAGTCTTGTACTCCTTGCTTATCACACGCCCATGGAGGCGAACTGGCCACCTAAGAGAGAGGATATATTGGCTGGCTCCTTGAGTCATTACAGGACACAATGTCACACACTGGATAGTTTTTAGACATTCATAAAGTTAGTTTTATTTTGGCCTGATCACAGGTATTCATATGGAGTCTTGCAAACTGAAGCAAAGGAAAAAAAATCAAGAGAGCAGAAGGATGAACATTTTGGAGGAAAAAAGTAAATGAGAAACAAATACACATGTACACGCACACAAGTAAATCAAAATGAACCCCCCCCCCAACAACCAAAAAATGAGGGGAGGACAGAAATGTTACATTTACACATTTTAGTGCAAGAATGTGAAGGACACAGAGACATACACACACGTAATGTGTGTGTGCAGACACACACAGAAGACAGGGCTCCAGATGTGAAATAAGTGAGGGAATACACAAAAAGAGAAATAAAAATATAAACCAGAAGTTGAATTATTGAAGACATGCACCTCGATTTTACGGCCCTCTACCACGGTGCCGTGTAATTTCTCCCTGGCCCTGTCTGCATCAGCACTATTCTCGAAAGTTACGAACCCGAATCCCTGCATGCAGCGGGAGAAGGGGGGAAAACATGCACATCGTTATATTGAAATACTGATCTCTTGGTAAACAGAGAAAAAAATATCACAGTATGAAACTGACATCAGCAACGACTCAGTAATACTCTCCCAAAGTCACATTTTTGGTCCATGCATATTTGGTAAAGGGAAATTAAACCCAATAACAGAATATAGAACTGCAGTAGTAGTAGTAGTAATAATAATAATAATAATAGCAACAACAATAATGATAATGTAATCAACAATAACTATAATAAAATAAAACATAAAGCATGTGAGGCCAGACCAAAATTAAGGTACAGAGTTACTCGGGTCAAATTCTTTCACCATGAATCTGAATATTTTTAGATGCTCTTTCTCTTTCAATTCACCCTGTTAATTTACTGTTTCTTTATGTAATTCTAAAAAATACTGAATTAAATCCGTCATTACCCAGTAACTTCTACATGAAGCCTTCCATTTAGGTGCAATCACTGTATAAGGAGATTTTTAGAACTCATCATTTTAGCTCCACTTTGCCTGTTTGCCTGTATCACCACAATTCCTCTGAGAAGAGAATAATTTAAAACATAGCCTTGATCTACAATTCTGTAGGTACGAGGTGTGGAAGAGAGCACCCATCTTCATCTAAGCTAATGAAAATATCACTAAGCAGTTGCCAATTATGCCTTTTCTTCAATGAATTTTAAACAACCAGACTGGTACTCAGAGTAAAAATAGGTTCAGCTGAATTCCAGAAAATAGCTTATCCAAATTTGCCTAAATTACACATTTGTTGAAGCCTACATCTGCTACTAAATGTATTAGTAATTTTCCATATAGAGGGGAAAAAAGGAATAATCAAAGGCAGTGCAAATGAGATCTATGTTAGTGACATCAGTTGTATACTGTTCAACACAAAAAGAATGCCATAAAATAAGTTGCTACTCCGAGTTAGAAGTAATTTATTTGCTCACTGTATACGAATAAATCATATAGAACTTTAATTCATTAAGTGGACAAAACAGAGAGCAGGGAGTTAACCCACTTACTCCTGTATTCACATTTATCTGAAAAGATGGTCTTGGTCATAACCAAACCATCAATGTCAAAAGCGGCAGGATTTACTACATATTTATATGACTATTTCATCAAGCATTAGATCAGTTCCAACTTAGGCGCTTTGTCCTCTTTTCCACTCTGCAACTGTAACATTCTTTCAAGCTATTTACATGTGTAGACTAGTAAATTCTTAAGATTTTCTGGGAAAGTCCTCATTTCTCAATAGCTTACTGTCCCTCTAGCATTCATTCTTTGAACATTCCACTGTAAGATAACCTGGAACCCTTTGCTATTTATTTTTACTGAAGTTCTGCTTCGCTGCCCTCCACGAGTCCTTCCATATATATACAAAATGTGTTCTTAACTGAGATGGTCAACAGTGTGCATTGCTCAGTAAGATTTTAGAAAAGCAACTCCATCATTTTGAAGGATCTGATTACTTTGCATTCTACATGATAGTATGGTTGGATGGTGGGCCATGGAGGATCCCAATGGATTATCTCTACCTGTAATTTGGATATCACCACAAATAACTCTAGAAAGTTCAATGCTAAGCTGACAGAAAATATTAAATGTACACTGCTTGAGATGGACGAGTACAGGTCATTTTAGTTACTTTTCTTACAAAGTTAAGTATGTTGAAAATGTCAATGGAAACATATTTTCAGAAACAAATTTTAATACCAATATGTTACAGCTTCCTTGACAACTAGAGGTATTCTATCTCAAGTTACTAATTAATGACATCATTTGTTATCTACACTAGCATCTGCTGAAGACAGGAAGCCAGCTCTCCAATCCTGGAGATTCCTCCAACAGAAAAGTTAAGTAAACCTTTCAAGAAAGGTCACAGACAGCGATGAGTTTTTATATCACACTGTGGAAGTATTATAAACTGAATTCCAACAGATTCTCACTGCCTCATACATTATATGCCTTGGGTTAAATTAACAAATGATGTCAGTGGCTGGATAACAGATTATGTGGAAACTAAGGCCTGAGGTTTTTAGTACTAGCATTTTGACTGACTAAATCTGTATATCCTCACACTCACACCCTTGTCTTTTAAATACAACCATGAAGTAGAAAGGATAAATCTGTTGTTTTCATTTTTAAGATGAAGAAAGTGAGTCAAACTGAGGTGAAACACCAGGAACCAACAAAGCATTTTTCTTTCCAGGTGGCTTCTTTCCACAGCTAATGGTGAGAAAATTAGAAATTAAGCTTTGAAACCTAAGTTCGGTATTCTATTAACTGCATTAGTCCCAAAATCCTTCTAGTTTTCTTTTTCAAACCTAATTGCTAAATGTGTTCTGTGAGCTTCTGCTCTGTAATGTGCTGACAGAGCATCTGTGACGTAGTAACTGCATGCAAAAGAACGCAAGGTGGTGTCATAAGCATTGACATTTCATAGCCAGCAGATGTGCTTATATTCTAAAGGAAATGCTAATCAAGACACCAAAGAAACAAAATGAAGCAGTCTTCACAGACAACTTTACCTAGGGTGAAGGAGGAAGGTCTTGCTGATACTTTGGGACTTCCTGCTATGAAACAGAGGTAAGCAGGATTTCCTTCTTTCCTTTGAAGATAAACAGACTTGGTGGCAGGCAGAATAAGGGCCCCCCAAAGTTGTCCACGTTCTAATCCTTGGAACCTGTGAATGTTACTACCTTACCTGGTAAAAGGGATTTTGCAGATGTGCTTAAATTAATGATCTTGCGATAGGGAGATTATCCTGGATTATCCAGGTGAGCCCAATGTAATCACAGAGGTGCTTATAAGTTAAAGAGGGAAACAGGAGAGTCTGAATCAGAATGCAGTAGCCTGAGAAAGAAAGGACTGGCCATTTTGGGCTTTTGAAGATGGAAGGTCAAGGAATGTGGGCCACCTCTAGAAGGTGGAAAAGACAAGGAGTGGATTATCCCTTAGAGCCATCTGAAAGAATGCAGCCCTGAAATACTTTGATTTTAGTTTAGTGAGACCCATTTTGGACTTCTGACCTTCAGAACTATATGATAATAAATCTCTGTGTTTTTTTAGCCACCTACTTTATGATGGTTTGTTCAGAGGCAATAGGAAATTAACATAGGGATCCCTGGATGGCACAGCGGTTTGGCGCCTGCCTTTGGCCCAGGGTGCGATCCTGGAGACCCAGGATCGAATCCCACGTCGGGCTCCCGGTGCATGGAGCCTGCTTCTCCCTCTGCCTGTGTCTCTGCCTCTCTCTCTCTGTGACTATCATAAATAAATAAATAAATAATAAAAAAAAAGGAAATTAACACATACCTCTCTCAGAAGTCTGTGATTAGAAAGTTGAGAAGTGCAGCCAGCATTTTTAGAGTCCTGTTCTTTGAAACTTTCCTCTCCTGTTGAACCTTTAGGTTTTCCATCAACTTAACTACAATTTGGTTTCAAGAATATTAACTCAAATAAAGCTCGAAAAAAAGTTTGATGTACCATTTCTTCAATAAAATTTAGCACTTCAAAAATGTGCCAGGAATTGAGCTAAGGATATTCACAGATTATCGAGGCTTGAAAAGTTATAACAGGAAAATATGTTTACATGAAATTATGTTTTAATGTCCTTTCTTGGAAATCTAATTCAAATTAAGTTTGGTCATTTGGGTCTCTTGCTTTGAAAAAAAATTTAATAAAATTATGTCTAAACCTAACACTTTATCCTTAGAAGAGCTTCAAAATGGTTATATAATGTATCAGTCATGAAAACAAAATAACCAGTTAGAAGAGCTACAAAGTCAAACCAAGATTTAATCTCAAATTCTTAATAAGAGTAAACATTTCAGGTATTTAAGATAAAAAACATAAACAAAAAGTACTTTTATATTTTTATAATAAAAAAATGTTGGTTTGTCTATATCTGACAGAAGTATAATACAAGCCACATATATAATTTTAAATATTCTACTAGCCACATTAAAAAAGTGAAAATAGGGATCCCTGGGTGGCACAGCGGTTTGGCGCCTGCCTTTGGCCCAGGGCGCGATCCTGGAGACCCGGGATCGAATCCCACGTCGGGCTCCCGGTGCATGGAGCCTGCTTCTCCCTCTGCCTGTGTCTCTGCCTCTCTCTCTCTCTCTCTCTGACTATCATAAGTAAATAAAAAAAAAAAGTAAAAATATATGAAAGTAATTTCAAGTGTATTTTGTTTAAAATAAAGTATATGCAACATACTATCAACATGGCATCAATATAAAAACATTAATGAGATGTTTAATATCCCTTTTTTCTGCTATGTCTTTGAAATCGGTGTGTATCTTACACTCAAAGCACATCTGAATTTAGACTTGCCACATTTCAAGTGCTCTATATGGCCACTGTACTGGACAATGCATGTCTATATGCTTTATACTGTAAACTACAGCTCTCAGTTCCCAAACTTCTTCTGTGACAGTAATTTAAATATGCCAGTGTTACATTAGAGATTTAACGCCATCTTAGCAGTCTTGTGAAAACTGAGGAATGGTGCATCTATCAGGATTATGACTGTGGTCAAAACTTCTACCAAGGGTGATAAACATTTTACCACCTGTTTTAACATCCGTTTATCATCAAGGGACTAGGAGCCGAATAACTGCCACCTTTTTAGTCTGGCCTCAGACTGCAATAAATAACAAGCAATAGAGTGAGCATTGTAAAAAATATTCTTAAATTTGTATAATCTTTGAGTTTTTCCATCTCAGAAGAATGAGAAAGAAAATTTACCATGTAACTTTTAAGGGAGAAATCAAAAGCGGACGTTCTCCTGGGTATGGCCAGAACACAGAAATTAAAAAATAAATAAAAGAAAAATAAAACTAAAACCCATAAGATGGTAAAAAAAAAAAATAATAAATTAAGCCCTTTGAAAATACATGCACTGTTAATTCAGTTTTAAGTATAATGAGAAACATTTCAACTCAGCATTTATTACCTATCGAATTTTACTGAAAAGCAAAGGCCTAGTTAGTGCAATTTCAAAGACAGTCTTTTGACCATATTTTTAAAGAAATAAATAATTTCCCTTTGCATGAAATCAAAGTCCAGGGAAACAGGCAAGAAATTACAGCACGTTACTTGTATCTGAGGATGGGGTTAGGGACTTTATCTTCCCTGACTCCAGCCTAAACTGAAGGCTAACCCAAATTCAGATCCCCATCATTCCAGATATCCACTTGTGAGAGTAATAAGAAAACAAGTAATAAAAACTTGCTAGAAATCTCAGTAATGGTTGCTATACTTTAGTCTGTGGTCCTTTACTGAACTTTAACAGTTGGCACTGTCTGAAGACGTGAAGAACTCCTACACATTCAGTATTTTTTATTTTTATTTTTTTCACATTCAGTATTTATGATACATGTCCCTTAGAGCAACCACCACACCAAAAGTAGGTTGACAAAATTTTATGGAAAATATAAAAATTAGAATGTGTACATTTCTTAATACGATAATTATATGTGATAATTATCACAAACAAATTGTTATAGGGCTGGGTGATAGTAAACAGAATGGTGGGAAGTCTGAGTCAGAGAAAGACAAATACCATATGATTTCACTCATATGTGGAATTTAAGGAAACAAAACAAATGAGCAAAAGGGAAAAAGAGCGAGGGGGGCAAATCAAGGAACAGAGACTTAATTCTCAAGAACAAACTGCTGGTCACCAGAGGGGAAGTGTTGGGGGTATGGGGGAAATTGGTGATGGGGTCAAGGAGGGCACTTGTGATGAGCACAAGCAGTTGTAGGTGAGTGCTGAATCACTAAATTTTACACCTGAAAGTAATATTACACTGTATATAAACTACCTGGAATTTAAATAAGAACTTAAAAAAGATTTTGAAAAGCAATGAGTTTTTAGTCACTAAAAGTATTTAGCAGAGAATTGTGAAGTCAAGTTGAACTAGGTAACCATTATTTAGAATTCTGTTTGAGTCTATGTTTGAAAAAATACTGGAAGGGAATACATGAGAGTATTAGTGACTATGTTCATTAAAGAACTATTTATGCTTTTTTTGGTCTGGTCATTAAAAAACACGTTTCTCTTTTATAATATTGGTTTGGAAAAGGGTGCTTTTTAAAAGTTGTTACTCAAAGAATCTGTAAGGAGAGGGGCAATACAATTTATTGTTCAAACTGGAACAATTATAGGGAGGAAGGGGACATTAATAATTATGCCAAGAAGAAAGCTACAAACTGGGACTATTCTACCAATATATTACCTTTCTATTGTTTATAATAATACCTTTGTTATGACTGGTGACATCTGGAGAATCCAAGTTATACCTATCAGTATTATCATTTTCTAGGTTCTATTTGAGTATATTAGTTTAATTTTTTGACAGGGGTAGCATTTTTCATCACACATCTTAATTGCATATTTTCAAAAGGATAGTCTACCTTTGTTTTAGTTAATCATAGTAAATTAGATAGGACTGACTTTATGTTTTTACAAAGGAGTATGAAGTAAAAAAAAGTATTTTTAAAAAAATCACATGAGGGATCCCTGGGTGGCGCAGTGGTTTAGCACCTGCCTTTGGCCCAGGGCACGATCCTGGAGACCCGGGATCGAGTCCCACGTCAGGCTCCCGGTGCATGGAGCCTGCTTCTCCCTCTGCCTGTGTCTCTGCCTCTCTCTCTCTCTCTGTGTGACTATCATAAATAAATAAAAATTTAAAAAAAAATCACATGAAATGTTTAAGTATATATTTTTGCATTTATATGAATATAAATGATATACATTAATTCCATAACCTAGGAAAACCAAATCTAGATATGAAGGTCAAAGAAGAAAAAAGGAAGATACTCAACAATTTTTTCAGGCCAAGCTGAAAAAGAATACCAGCAAAATGATGGGGGAGATGGGCAAGGCAGCATGACAGTGTTCACTTATGTTTTTAAGTGGGTATGTTCTAAAGCTGTAGGCTGACAGTCTCCTAAAAAAGAAGACAATGTAAAGAGTTGCTTTTTGTTTTGGAGCCATGTGATTATTTAACTGTTCTATTGATAATTGTTTTATACGTAAGTATCACTTTTTCAGAATTATTTTGTGACTCATTTTCCCATTACTGGTTCAAAAATAAATTCAACAAAGCTAATTTCTATACAGAAAAGCACTCAATTAAAAGACTGAGCAGCTCTAAAGTGAACAATACAACCACTTAAGTCTCATTTCTGGTTCCTTTCAAGACACGCTGTAATATTATAGTCAACCACAAACATAAAAGAAATGAGAAAATAAACTTAATTTACTAAAAGAAAAGTACTCTTTAATTTATGTGAGGTGGATCCCAGAAGAGGTACCCAGGTTTTGACTCCAAAATAAACCTCTGTTAATGAGTCTGCAGAACAGTTTGAGGAACCCATTCCAGCAGAGAACTTTAGGTGACAGTTAAGGAGGACACAAGGTGAAGACAGATTTTTTTTATCAGTCCTTGAAGGCAGATCCAGGCAATTCTGAAATCTGTGCTTTAAGAACAGCTACCAATCAGTACATCGTTTAGCTACTCTTTAGCTGCCCGAACTAAAAGAGGCAGTGAGGACATAGCATTATACTGAGGGGAGCGGCATATGCTTTTAGAGTCCCCAAAGAGAAAAGGAAGGCATGTGTCACTTAAACATGAAAATTACAGGGGAGAAGCAATCTAATTGGGTACACTGAGCAATTTTTGGTAGTAAGCAAATCTTTGAAGAAAGAAGCCTTAAGAAAGATCAATTTCCTTTGCTTCACAAGAATTCAATCCATTTATTTTCTTGGTAAGGAGCAAGACCCCAATGCCTGATGAAATCATACTGGGCTTCGGGTTATTGGGGTCTAGTTAAGAACAGTGCGTGTACATACACTTAAAACTAAAAACATGTAAACTATGACTTTGGATAAACAGTGTAGCATAGAATCTTCACATATTTATGATATGTTGCTTCTCATCTCTATAAACCATTGTCACTTTTCCACCTTGGACCTAAAAAGGTCACAAAAAATGAAAGCAAAGGGCCAGAAATCCACTGTGAAGAAACTAAAAGCATAGTTTTACGTTATAGGCTAAACAGATTTCACTTTAAAAATACTTACCAAGTTAAGTGCTGAAGAAAGTTCTGTATAGGTATATTAATCTTTTTTTGTTTTAACTGAAAACTGGAAGCTTAGAGTATAGTTACCTCTTTCATAATTAACAAATAATTATTATAATCAGAATTAGACACTATCAGTGTTGATGTGGTCTATAAAGGAAGGGAATAATAATCAGGAGTATTAGAACAGTACATACATTCATGTTACTTTAGATGGGGCAGGAGGTATGTAACTCCCTGTAGATATAGGCTATTAATTCCCAAGGTATGGTGAATTTACAGTAGGAAACTGAAGAGGTAAATATTAACTCACTGATTCACTTTATTTAGCTTTTCTCAAATTATATTCTTAGAGATTTAATTATAGCCAAGGGATAGCTATTTTCAAATAGCCAGGAAAAGATGACCAAATGAAAAATTAAATCAAACTGTTCTAACCTAAAAATTTAAGTAGAAGTGAACACAGCAAGGGCAGTATTTATAAGCTTGACCATAGCTGATCGTGTTTGTGTGGCATAGTTCACTTATTGAGGAAGGAAGAAAACTGTCAAATGAAACTTTTCTAAACTCAGTTCATTAAATATTGTTTTAATGAACCACTGTCAGACTTCATCATTCCCTCACTCCTAAAATCACTGCTGCGTATTTTAGTGCACTGAAATTCAAATCATATAGATTGGGAATTTAAAATAGTAAATTATTAGGGGGAAATGAGTTTTAATTAAATTGTTCAGTTCTCATAGAAAACACACTTAGAAAACCTGTATCGAATTGTGCACCGTTAGTACATTCATTCTGATGCCAGAAAAACCCAACTCACTATTTGTAATTGAAGGGATTCTACATTCTGAAGCTTGCCAGTCTGGGTAGGACTCGAAGGAAGAGGTATCCTAGAAGAGGTACCCAGGTTTTGACTGGGAAGTCTGGGTAGGACTCGAAGGAAGGCATCAGCTTACAGTGAATTCCTGAGTCACTACTCCCTGTATTTATGCCTCGTCAAGTTTATCCAAAAGAGAAAGAGAGTCAACTGAAGGATCAAAGTACTAAATTTGTTCTAAGTATGTCATTTCAGAGTCTGATTGTTAAAAGCTGAATTGTTCTGGTACAATTCACAACAGAATTCTCATAGAAATTCACTTGAGTCTTCTCTCTTCCCCTTTAAAATGAGGTGAGGGCAATTTCAGTTTGATAAAGGGCAGGCGTCTCCTGCTCTGGATCTCCCCCATCACACTTCTCTTGCTTCCAAGCCTACCCCTCTCTCCCCCAAACTAAGTACTAGGATAAAGTCTGGCCATGTGGTTACTTATTTTTAGAGATAATCTGAACCAAGCCAGGTAAGGGAGGATACTTTTTGCAGGCTTGAAAAACAGCTTTAAGTTTTCTGATTACTACTACTTAAAACTAAAAGGAAACCAGACACCCTTAATACTGAGATGGAGCTTACCTTAGAGCCACGTTCATTAAAGATAATTTCTACATCTAGGATTTTGCCAAACTGCTGCAGAGACAAAAATAAAAACATTTATTCAGGGTCAGCTTCTTATCCACATACTTTATTTTCTCCTGAAAAATGAGTAGTTTTTTTTTTTTCCTTTTAACTACTTATTCAATTTTCCTGTTTCTACTTGTTGGTAGTCCCCAATACCAGTTTCTGATTTCCCCTCATTAATGAGCCAATAATTTCTCCTTCTTAAATGTCCCAGTTTTTAAGAAGCAAATCTGAAGTAGAAAGATACACTATAGAAGGCTGTGTTTTGCTTCTCCCTCTTTTTTTTTTAATTTATAAAGTAAATCATATTCACTGTAAGGAAGGCAGGAAATACAGATAAATGAAAATGAAAAGAGGGAACAAAAAAATGACGATCCTCTGCACACATACCATCTTATTCTGGTACACAGCCTTCTCTGCATTTCCTAAGGCATACATTGTTAAGGACATTATTTCTAAGTATTACTTTTTTTTTTAAACTTAATATGCCATAAACAGCTTGCCAAGTCAATAAATATGTATCTGTGTTCTCATTTCTACAAACTACATGCCATTTTCCATTGTACTTAAACATTCAAGGACATTACACATGATTTCATTTATTTGCCCTTTTAATATTTTGGCAATGAACATCAAGAACATTTTAAGTAATATCTTTGTTTTGTAATTAAATATTTTAACATTTGGGAAATAAGCTGAAAATATGAAGCCTAAGTAACTGTTGGTAGGTCCAACAGCTGACTAGAGGAGCATACATTGAACACAGTGGTTATTCGGAGGAAAGGCATGTAGAAGGTGACAAGACCATCTGTTAGAATCAATGTGTGGATGAACTGAATTGAAGGAATGTGCATTAATCTCCAGATAGCTTTTTGGCCCCACTTCCTTCTGACTACTGGACTCATAGGCCCAATTATCTATGTCACTTGGATTGCAAGTCAGACTTCGGGAAATGTGAAAAAACTAAAAAATGAAAAGTGCAAAACAAATCCTGCTTTCTCACTGGGCTGAATCATTACTATCTTTTTCAGAAAACATGTACTAAGAGTCCAAGTTTTCTAGAGTAAGACTTCTGGGCTTGATTCCAGTTTCATTACTTAACAGAACATTAGGAAATAAAGGAAAGAGGAAAATGTCTTATTTTAGGTAGGAGGGCATTTAGTTTTATTTCTATGCCTATCCAAACAACTGAGATTTGAATGGAGTTTTAAGAGTTTTCCTTTTACATTTTCTAATGCTGTCCTTATGCTGTCCTGCTACGGTAAGGACTGCCTTCCTTTGCTGGTTAAGGAAAATGAGGCTGAAGGAAGCCATCTGTCAACTTTACACAGCTAATAAAATGAAGCATGGAATCTCTCCTCTTTACCACTGCTGCTGTCCTTCCAAGGTTACACTAACCATGCAGAAAAGGACAGAGCAACCCTATCAGGTATCCCTTACAAGGAAAATTTTATTTCTTTTTTTTTTTTTTTTTGCACTTAGCAGCCTTATAGGAAGGGCATAATACATTTCAATAAATCCCTGATAACTGGCCTAAGCAGATCTTCAATGGACACAATTTTTCTGATTTGAGAGAAAACACACTTCTGGCAGATGACAATGTCCTCCATTTTCACCGATCTCCAGAGATGAGGATTCCATATTATCTCTGATAATTCAGTAGAGAAACTAATAACTCATATTCCTGGGAAGCTTCTTCTTAAACATAACCTCAATTCTTTAAGCTGCCCTTTATATTTTCTGTTATTCTCTTTGCTGTAGAGATGAACAGTTGGCTACTGTTTTCTGTGTAAAGGCTCTTCAAGTAATCCAAGAACATTATTAAATCTCAGCACTGGCCTTGGCTTAGGTATAGAAAATACCCCCAGATGCTCAGCTGTCAGGGACAAAACTTTGCTCCAGGATCTTGTCGCCACGAAGTGGCCACAACCGGGAGTTCAAGCGGGGCACCTGCTTTCCTCACAAAGCACCACACAGCAATGGCAATGAAGTTTTTTTAAAAACCATGGTCTCTTATTCCTAGTTCAAGTTAAGAGTTCCCTCAAATGAAATCTGACAACACATAAGCTCAGAAAATATGTAAGATTTCCAGCAGTCATTCACATTCCAATAACTTAAATCTTTGCTGTTATGCTTTGTTTTCATGATGATGATTTTGGGAGGAAACTGAAGCTGGAAACATACATCAGAGGTAGCAAACTGACCACCTACACCTGATCTTAGATATTGGTCTTGAGACGCTGTTGAGTTATGATAAGGGAAGTAAAAACAAAAGTACCATCTGCTTCACAAACATTAGGTCATTGAACTTGTAACACTCCAAAGGGGAAGGATTATTGTCTTTGTCCTGATTTTAGACTGAAAGGCTCATGTCTCAAGTGGCCCCAGGTTCCAGGCAAATCAGGTTGCATGGTCACCTGGTTATGTGAGAACCTGCAATGACAGAATGATAGGAGTGATAGCGCTAGGTGACGGAACTCCTGAAGACCGATGAAAACACTGATTTACCTTAGGATGTCTCTCAACCTATGTGCAGCAGTCTTATCCTAACATCCTAATGATTTATTTAAATACAGCAGGTGGATTAAATTTTTTTTTCAGGGGCACCTGGGTGGTTCAATTGGTTAAGCATCTGCCTTTGGCTCAACTCATGATCCCAGGGTCCTGGGATTGAGCTCAGTGTTGGGCTCCCTGCTCAGCGGGGAGTCTACTTCCCCCTCTCCCTCTGTCTCTGTCCCGGCTTGCTCACTCTCTCAAATAAATTGAAAAAAAAATTTTTAGATTATATTTTCACTCTAAAACCCACAAAAGGACTCCAGAGACTTACCCCAAACATCTGTCGGAGGTCAGGGTCCCGGAAGCGGAAGGGAATATTAGAGACATGCAGCCGTTTAGGGGTGGATTTGCTCTCTGAGTTCTCACTACTTTGTGTCTGTGACTGCTGGCCATCTGTCTGTGCTCCCCCTTCTGTCTGCTGGGCAAAGAGACAGACAACTTTGAGCGAAAAATAAACACAATTACTTCATAAGAATTATGTAAAATAATTAATGCCCGCCCAACCCCAATCATTCTCAAACAGCGTGTATTTAAGCAAAAGTTAGTTGTCCCTTCAAAGGGGAAAAAACCAAAACCAAAAATGTTATCTGTGTTCAGATTGCTACCGTTTATAAAGTTGGGGTCTCGTGAATTTTATAGTACACTAGTGAAGTGGGATAAAACAGAAATACTAAGTGACTTGCCCAAGACCACATGGCAAACCACTAGGTATAAGAGATATGAAAACTGAAGACATAAAACTTGTACCATTATTCTTAGATTCTTAGTGGAGTTTTCCATTTTTGAGATCTTTCCATTTTGAAAATGTAGTCTATTGTATATAGTTCAGATCACTGCATTTTTGGCCTATCAGTTTAGGAAATAAGAAGATCTTTTCATGTTTCATTCCCTCTATTAGTTCCAGCGTTTATGACTTCAGGTCACCTAAGTATCCTAATATTCATGAAGAGGTGACACCTAATGACAATGGGCTTCCACCTGAAAGAGCTCTTACTCAGAAACCAATCGGCACTCTCCTCCTCATCCACGTCATTCCAGCTGATGTCAGCACGGGACCCCAGGCTCCTGCAGCCCAGAGCAAAACCCTATTCACAAAATCTGCTGGGAGAGGCTTTATGGGCTCTGGGCAGCCTACTGGATGACATGTAAACATGTCATGTAAAAGCTAGGTCTGTGTACACCAGCAGTGAAAGGTACATGTAAGTGTGGGTGCAATCTCTTTTGCAACACTGCAGGCATTTCCACACACCTACCCCTAAATCCTCAAAAAAAAGCTGCCATGTTGAGAAATACTTTTGACAAACATCTAACAGGTGTGATACATACTAGGTATTCCAAACACACATTTATTTTGAAATATTCATCTGGCAATTTAGGAACCCTATGTTTTCACCCTATGTATTGCCTACGAAGTGCATGCCAAACTGGAGGGCTCACTGAGCTGATTAAACCAAGAGTGGAGGCAGCCCGGGGGGCTCAGCGGTTTAGTGCCACCTTCGGCCTAGGGCGTGATCCTGGAGAGCTGGGATCGAGTCCCACATTGGGCTCTCCGCATGGAGCCTGCTTCTCCCTCTGCCTTTGTCTCTGCCTCTCATGAATAAATAAAATCTTTAAAAAATAATAAAAAATAAACCAAGAGTGGAACTCACTGTTCTTAGCATCTCAAGTGAGTTACAACTGTGTTCCTAACAGATTCTTCTGAGTGACGCAGAACAGATCCCCTCCCTTTGACCCAATGTTCAAGTAAAAAACTGTGAATCACAAATACTTTTGGCTCAGAGACGTTACCAACCATCTCGAAATGAAGTTCGAGACTTTAAAGTATAAAGGATAATCAGGAATAAACTCGGGATGAATGCTAGCTTTTCAAGTGTCAATCTAAGTGATGGCAGCTTTTATCTCACTCCATTCAGGCCTTGCAGATGGCTTAAATGTGCAATGATTCATATGATATAAAAATAGCAGAAAAGGGAAGAGCTATGAAGCAATGTTCAGTGAAAGTGTAAAGTTTTCAATCATCAATCTGGGCACAATGCAGACCAAACAAAGCAAATTCTATTCAAAGATGAAACTCACTAAGTTACTAAAATGGCATCATGGACACCAAAGCAATAAGCAACAAGCGTAAGCATCAATTACAACTAATGCTCACTCAAGCACCTTCAAACTTGCCTCTTGTATCTCACAGCTGGAGCCCATAAAACTATTTCTTCAACCAAACCTTAAGTCACTAGATCTGATCTACAGGGTATCAGCACATCACTCTGATAAAAGTTATAAAGGTTGACTCTAGCTCCAAACCACAGTTTTATAGATAACTTATACATAGTTCATGTAATCTGTAATACTATAATGAGGTGGCAGGATAAATGAAAACTGATGATTATTTCAAAGTATGTTGCCCAACATACTTGTTACTCCAAGTTTCTAAGCCTCTGAAGACACAATTTAAGGATAGAAGCCAGACTGGATAATTTTCTGCCTTGTAGTGAATACTTACTTTTTTTTTTTTTTTAAGTTATCTCTACACCCAGTGTGTGGCTTGAACTTAAGACTCCGAGATCAAGAGTTTGCAGGCTCTTCCAAAGGAGTCAGCTAGGTGTCCCTTAACACCTACATTCTTTAAGAGTATGAAGTCTTTAATTCTAGGGACACTTGGCAAATTGAAAAGGTAAATTATCATTTCCAAAATTCTCAAGTCTTCTGATTTAATATATATTTTACAACTGCAGTTGAACATAGATACAAATGCCGAAATCATAAGCAGGAATGAATTTTCGCAGAGAAAATACACCCTTGTAACTATCAAATTAGATGGAGCAACAGAACTCTAGGAGCACCCTAGTCACTGTCTCCTTGTGAAAAGGTCCCCACTATGCTGACTTCTGACTCCATAGATTAGTTTGGCTGTTTTTGAACTTAAAAAAAAAGAAGAAAGAAAAGTAATTATACACAGTATGTACTCTTCTGTGTTTGTCTTCTTTTATGCATTGTCTATATAATACACATACACATGCTATTATAATTCATGTATTTTTCTTCTGTTTTATAAACAAACAGGCCTTACTGGAGCTGCTTCTAGTTTTTGGCTATTAGGGATAATGTTCCTATGAATATTCCTGCTACATTCTTGTCTTTTGGTGCACACAAATAGTCGTTTCTATTGGGTGCATATGCATGTAGGAGTGGATTTGCTGGATTAAGAACACACCTAAATTTAGCCTTAATAGATATTGCCAGTTTTCCCAAGTGACTATACTAACTTACACTCAATTGTGAATAGCTGGAAGAGTTCTATTTGTTCTAAGTACTGTCATTTTCATGGTCACTATTATGGCAGGAGGCAGTGGCACCATGTTGTGGCTTTAATTTGCTTTCTTCTCTTTAAACCTTTAAATCCTTTCCGCTTTCCATTTAGAGAATTTTGTTGAAAAAATGGGAATTATTTGTTACATAGTAACTATTTCTTGAGTGCATACTATCTGACAGACCTTCTGTAAGCTTTTTAATAACAATTAACACTTAGTGTTTACTATTTGCCAGACACTGGCCTACGCATTTTGTGTATTATAGTTAATGTAATTCTTGCAACAAACCCTAAGACTAGGCACTTTTTTTTTTTTTAAAACATGAGACTATAGGGGGATGCCTGGATGGCTCAGCGGTTGAGTGTCTGCCTTCAGCTCGGGGCGTGACCCGGAGACCCAGGATCGAGTCCCTGTATGGAGCCTGCTTCTCCCTCTGCCTGTGTCTCTGCCTCTCTCTCTCTCTCTCTCTCTCTCTCTCTCTCTCTCTCTCATAAATAAATAAAATCTTTAAAAAAAAGAAAAACAAAAATATGAGAATGTAGGAGGTACTATTTTTTACCCCACTTTTCAGATGAGGAATCTGAAAACCACAAGGATTGCCTAAGCAGTGGATCAGGGGTTCAATTTTTTTTTTTCAATTTTTATTTATTTATGATAGTCACAGAGAGAGAGAGAGAGAGAGAGAGAGAGAGAGAGAGAGGCAGAGACACAGGCAGAGGGAGAAGCAGGCTCCATGCACCGGGAGCCCGACGTGGGATTCGATCCCGAGTCTACAGGATCGCACCCTGGGCCAAAGGCAGGCGCTAAACCGCTGCGCCACCCAGGGATCCCTGGATCAGGGGTTCAAACACAGGAGTACAGTACATGCTCTTAACCACTATGTCATGTTGTAATCTACATGTATTATCTTTTCTAATCCTCACAATAATCTATGAGATAGGCACTATTATTACCCCAAATGACAGAGGCCGAAAGTAAAGCGCAGAGAAGGCACAGAGAGGTTAAGTAGGTGCCCTAGGTCACATATTAAGTGGCAGAGCAGGAACTAAAAACCAGGTGGCTGACTTTCATGTGCTAGGTCTCCTGTCTGGCATGGCACCCAAGCTTCCTCCTTCTCCTTAGAAAGAAAAACAGGGGGCACCTGCGTGACTCAGTGGTTGAGGTCCTGGGATCGGGTCCTGCATCAGGCTCCCCGCGGGGAGTCTGCTTCTCCCTCTGCCTATGTCTCTGCCTCTCATGAATGGATATACGACATCTTAAAAAAAAAAAAAAAAAAAAAAAGAAAGGGAGAACATGTGTGTATCCCACTTTCTCAGGATGCTCACTGGGAGGAGCAAGACCTTCCCTGGGCTGTAACAGCCATGGGGGTAAGGGACAGAGAAAGCTATACAAGAATGACATATATTCTATACCTTGAAGGAAGAGGAGCAGGTCAGGGAGGAAAAGCAAGGGGAAGAAAACCCGGTAAAAGCAAGCACACAGGCACTCAAAGGAAAACAGCAGACAGTTATCAAACTGATACTCAAAGGGGCTGAGGAGCAGATTTCTGTACATAATGGACATAGGAATAGGAAATATATATTGAATGTAATTAAATGAGATACTTCGGGCAGCCCTGGTGGCTCAGCGGTTTAGCGCCGCCTTCGGCCTGGGGTGTGATCCTGGAGACCTGGGATCGAGTCCCACGTTGGGGTCCCGGCATGAAGTCTGTTGCTCCCTCTGCCTGTGTCTCTGCCTCTCTCTTTCTGATGAATAAATAAATAAAATCTTAAAAAAGAAAAAAAAGAGATACTTCCCCATCTGACATCCCCAACTTTAAGTGTACCTCAATATCAACTACTACTTGTACTTGTTGAAATAGACAAATCAGACAGAAATAGTAAGTAAAAGTTTTTACGCTATAACTTTATGAAAAGTGGACAGCAGAACTGTTTGTTCTGAGAAAAATATTAGTCTACACCATTGGTTTGCTTTATTTCCTATTGTTAGCTACTGAGCCACATTACCAACCATATAAATAACCTCCCAAGGTTCTGTTCTTCCCTTCTGTGGTCATTTTTCTGACCTGATTTATTCACTGGGCAGGAGATGAAACAGAAGAGGCTGGAGT